GGACGTCCCGTTCATGGAGTTAGTCTCACAGAAACAGGAGGCTTTGTCGTGCATGAGCTGCGACTTCAGGTGCAACAAGAGGTCGACCATGATCGCCCACCTGGCCCAAAACCACGAAGGATTCGGCAAGAGCAAGTTCACCAGCAAACGAAAGTTCGCCTGCATGATCTGCGGTCTGATTTGCTCCCGCAAAGAGACGCTGCGTTCCCACTTTGTGCGCAAGCACACCCATCGCTACGAGTTCTCCTGCGAGCTGTGCGGCAAAGAGTTCAAGATCAAAGGCGATCTAACCACTCACACGCGTCTCAACCATCGAGAACCACCCGTGATATGCGACGTGTGCGGGAAAACCTGTCGAAACAGTCACAGTCTGTACACCCACCAAAAGCACGCCCATTACAAAGCCAAGCACGAGTGTCCCGTGTGCCACAGGAGACTGGTCACCAAAGAAAATCTGGACCAGCACGTGTTGACGCAGCACAAGAAGAAAGAGAAGTCCGTCTGTGAGGAATGCGGCAAAACCTTCTTCGAGAACCACGATTTCAGGAAACACATGAGAATTCACACGGGCGACAAGCCGTACAGTTGTATAGTCTGCGCGAGGGCGTTCACCACCCACAGCAGTCTCAGTCAACACCTTCTGTTGCACACGGGGGAGAGAATCTACGTTTGCGACGTATGCGGGAAATCGTTCGCCCAAAAGGCTGGCCTCATATGCCACAGAAAGATACACTCCGGAACGTTGCCTCCGCTTCCGGTGATGCACATCGATCACATCCTGAAAGAGTTCATGAAGAAGTGAAACGCGTCTTTGAAAATTCTTCGATATAAAAGAGAAAAGCAATTTGACCGAGGCATCGAGAGTCGAGATGTTTGTTGATAATAAGATAGTTCTTAGGATTTTTGTTTTTTATCGATAACGATAAATCGAATGTTCTTCCAGACGGTGCTCGTGCTGTAATATTTGTAACGTTTTTTACCAAGCGCTCGAAATAAAGTATTATTTTCCCTATCACCGACGTACGTTAATTCACGTGCTTCACCCTAACGTATCACGTTCAAGCATCTATTCACGACTAATACGGTGGTCTCCGTAAATGTATCGCCAATGTTTGTGATTACCACTACGAAGCTTTTCTTTCCATTTCCGCGTACATTGTTCTCTCTAACAGCCGCGTTAACAACGTTCCCGAGGCTACGACCGAGATTGTTGTCGCGGCACATGTAAGATAAGAAAAACCAAAAAGTCGTTTGTAAATCACTTGCAGTCCGAGTATTGCTCGCAGGGACATTTAATAACGCCGCTGATCGATAATGTTTCAGGTACGGGCTAGAAAGCCTCGACTCACGCGGTATCTTTATCTACGACAAGGAGTCGGTGATTATGAAAAAGTGGCAGATCCTGGAGTTCGACGGGAGGCCTTACTACGCTTTTGTACCTGAAGGCGACACGCCGTTGGCCGACGAAGACATACCGGAGCAGTTGGACGATACGGGGCCGGAAGAGGAGAAGCAGGGCCTCGTGAAAGTGGAGTGTATGTACAATGACGAAGATCTGCAGTACGATTCGTCGGACGAGAAGCTGTACGAGGAGGATCACCTTCTCAACGGTGGTACAGAGCAAGTTGAGGACGACGAGGATGTGAAACCGATACTCCTGAACGGCTCCATGGAGGACGAGAATCACAAGATCGGTGACCTCTATCAGGTCAAGGTACAGGGTAGCATGGTGACCATAGAGAAACTGACCAGCGAGATCGATACGAAACCGACGATCGAGTACGAACAGAACCCGGACGAACAGATAATGTACAGCGAACAGGAACAGCTGGATCTAACCGATCAGACGGAACAAGCGGAGCAAGTGGAACAGGTGGAGTATTTGGAGGAGGAGATCCTGGAGGCCGCGAACAAACACGCGACGCCGACGAAGACGCGCAGGAAAGGCTCCAGGAACGCCAGCAGCGCTCTGAAGTGCAAAGTTTGCTCGGAGATGTTCAGCTCGGCCATCTCGTTTCGTAAACACGTGGCGTGGACGCACAAGAAGAAGGTGTGCATACAGGAGGACGGCGCTTACATTTGCGCCGTATGCGATTACAGGACACTGAAGAAGAGTTTGTTCGCCGCTCACCTGGAGAGAAAACACGAGACGTGGTCCAGGAAACGACCGAACAACATAGTGTTCCCCTGCGCCGCTTGCGGGTTCGTTTGCAGGTCGAAGCACTCGTTGCAGTCGCACTTCATTCGCAAGCACACGGATCGGTACGAGCACCAGTGCAAGTTCTGCCCGAAGAAGTTCAAGGTGAAAGGCGATCTGACCAACCACGTTCGATTCCATCACAAAGAGAAGCCCATCAACTGCGACGTGTGTGGCAAACTCTGCCAGAACAGCGGCTCGCTCTACGTGCACCAGAAATGGGCGCATTACAAGCCCAAGTACGAGTGCCACATATGCAAGAGGCGCATGGTCACACAGGAGAACCTCGATCAGCACTTGCTGACGCAGCACGAGAAGAGGGAGAAGATCGTGTGCGCCGAGTGCGGTAAAACGTTCACGAAAAAGGACTCGTTCAAGAGGCACATGGCGGTCCACACGGGATGCAAACCACATTCCTGTCTCATCTGCAACAAGCCCTTCGCGAGAAGGTCCCAGTTGCGCCAGCATCTGCTCATCCACACCGGAAAGAGACCGTTCGTCTGCGACATATGCGGCAAGGCGTTCACGCAGAAGCCCGGTCTGATCTGTCACAGAAAGACGCATCCCGGGCCGCATCCTCCGTTGCCCGTTATGCCCATAGCGGACATCGTCAAGGAGTTCACCGAGGGATACGTTCAGGAGATAAACGCGCGCGAGAACGAGGAGAGAATCGAAGAAGAATCGTAGAGAGTGGATCCTCCTCGAGCCGGGAGAAATTGTTCGTTCGCTCCGATTTAACATCCCGCTAATCAGGAAATGTTTCCATCGCGCGTCGAGGATGGAAGGAACCGCGCGCGCGATCTTTGCGACTACTAGGATTTTAATTTCTTTGCATATCGATACGGTTAATACGTGAAAATTTTGGTAAACGCGAGATGCTGGTAGTATTCTTACTTTCATCCGTTTGCATCTACTCGTTGTTGAAGGATAAATCATACTTAAATGGCTTTTGGATAATTGAAATGTTTGATACATGACTTCAAGCGTGGGCGGTTAATAGTTTAAACACTTCTGACAGATGAAGCCTTAACGCGGTTGATCTTGACGCGAGTTTTAATTTTTCTAAATTATTAGTCGTCTCTGCTTAAAACCATATATCGTTAGCTAAAGTACTGCAAACATTATCATTATGAGTATCGAACGAGGATCACGTTTGGATGTGTTTCTTTACCAGAAAGACAAAAATTTCTTTTTAATACTGTACGTCCAAATTTTCTTCAAATTTAGTTATCATTAATGTTAGTATTATTATTATTATTAATATTCATCTTATTATTATTTCGCTAACCGTTAACGAATTCTCTGCTGAATTATTATTTTAAGGGTTCACAAAAAAATATGTAGAACTTTTTTAATACTACAATGTACTACTAATTACGTTTAACGCTGAGCTATGTTTACGTTCTAATGGATTCTTTTAAAAAATTTTAAATACCTGCAAATTGCATAATTAATTCTTTAATAATATTCTTCAGGTTACTTCAACAACGAGTAAACGTAATAATTCCATATACTTCGATTCATCTTATTGTTTGATTAAAAACGAAATACATATATTAAATAGAGAATAAGGAAAACTGAAATCTAGGGGCAATTTGTGTACCATCAAGAACGGAGGATTAAGAACACGAAATAGTGAACAATAATTATTTTTAGACATATTGCATATAATTGTAAGTATAAAGGTTTAAGATGTACAATATAATAACAGCCTTGTAAATTTAAGATTTACAGAAAAAAAGAAAAAATATCCCCTCGAACTTTCCTTTCAACAAACATGCAAAGTCCATGGCGCGAGTTTACTTCAAACGTTTTAAGCAGTCACGTTGTTGATGAAGAATTATAATTGATATTATATAAAAATAGTTTCCTATATCCACTGTAAATATCGCAGTTGAAGTGGGTTGCCTTTCTTGATAATACACTGTACAATTCGTGTACAGTATGATGGTATCGTTTCCGATAGTAAGTCAGTCTGAATAAATTTCAAACTAACTAAACTTCATCGAGGCTGAATATAACACGAAACTAACATTTTCTGCATTGATGCAGCACGATACTTCTGCTAAAATCAGTTTATCCCTTTGAGAAATAAAGATTCCTCGATATGAAAAGCAATTGTAACATCATAGTTCACTCCGTGAATTGATTAATACGTATACGTTAATCTTAAAAGAGAGTCGTTTGGTACGATGTATTACCAACGATAAACGAAACATGTCCAATTAATATGGTACTGTACATTAGCTGTCATAATTGCGATTTTCTGTTCTGTAGTCGGCTCAAACTCCTACTTCCTCTACTGTGAGCGCATACCAGATACAATTCCTACTTTTCTGTTCAGCCAGCTGTAATAGGAGACGTGTGCCTGTAGGTTTACAAGAAGAAACGAAATAATAATAATTCATCTTCGCTGCATCAAAGTTATACACAAAATGAAACGATGGAGCAAAATATAATACACAGATGAAGTGGTGGTATATGCTGATATTACCCTAATTTCGAACGGTATAGCGAGATAAACGCAGTCGAAGAATTGATCTTGAGCAATGATTTTTTATTTCGATTAGACTGTAGTGACGCAAGTGGCTCCCGTTACTTTTTCCAATTTCTCTTGTAAATAAAAGACATTGACACCCATGTGTTTATAATGCTATTGTCTGTTTATATCGTAACAAATGCTATGAAAATAATTAGAGAGATAAAAAATGCGAAATATAATTAGCGATAGCTTTTTTATCTCGATATAATACTTAACGAAAAAAGTATGTCCGTGTCGTTAATATAGTCGGGGCACAATTGAATGGCCGCGTTGGTAGTTTGTAGATTTGCACGAAAAGAAGAGAGATAGCGAACGAACTAGCAAAGCGTTAGAGTGGGGATAGTTCCTCGGTGGCCTTGGGCGGTTATTGATTTTGTTCCGACTATAGGACAAATAGCTCAGATCAATTTGAGGATCCATGTTGACTGGACATTGTTTTTTGAATACCCCAAAATTATTTCGATCATTTTTATTTTATTTCTATCGTCCTGTATCCACGTAACACTTATATTTTTTTGCGAACTAGTCCCTCTAAAACCAATTGGAACGCAACAGAAGTACAGTTTCCATGTATTACATCCGTAAAACGAGAAGCTCACGTGAAAGATAGCACGCCTCTAATGGCTATTTTTCTAAAATCAATACCTTAGCGTACTGCGTTCGTAATGACACACGTAAACGCTGTGTATAGCTTTGAGTTTGAAATAAATATTTTTACTGAGCCTGATCTTTTCAACTATCCCGTAGTGATATCGAGCGCACGGATATCTAATCACGAATGAGACACGATAACACGCATGCAAATATTTTCCTTTCTCCTTAAGGTTGAAAAGAAATTTGTTTCGAGCACTCTTTGAATATAGTATAGGTAGTTACGCCACGTCGCCGAGGATAGGAAAAATTCTCGAGAAAATGTAGAACGAATTAGATAATGCCCAGATAAGTATATTTGCTGTATTAAATCATCGCGTCGAAATAGTAATAATTCATGATCTTTATACATTTACAGGCTGCGACTGTTACGGATTGTTTAGAACTACGAGAAGGTATGATAAACATAGATACATTAAACATCACGAGAGATTCGATTACCTAAGATTTTATTTAAAAAAAAAAAAAATACGACGTTCGAACGATAATCAAAAGCGAGTAACGCGCGTTTCTCAAATTGCACAGATCTAAAATCAAATGCTCGTACGAGAACGATCGTATCAGCCAAATCGCAACCTAATTGATAAGACCTTCTTCATTACTCCCAAACCGACGTTAACGCGAAGTATGAATTTTTTTGTTTTAGTGTCTTGGATCCCCTAAGCGAAGTGTTTAAGATCGAATCGTCGATCTCGACCGTAGACTACGTGAACTGGATCAAGAAGGAGAACTTCGAGGTCGTGCCTACGCATCGAGAAGCAAACGACGCAAGAACAAAGCACGACACGGAGACCGTGCTTTACTCGACGAACCACGCCGATCGAAAGACAAAGAAAAGAACGCTAACGAACCGTTTGGAGTGCGACCACTGTAGCCGCAGGTTCTTGAAGAAGAGCAACCTCGTGGAGCACTTGAAGAAACACAGACACAGGTGCCCGGACTGCCCGAAAACCTTCAGGCTCCGTCGATACCTGACCTCCCACACGGAGAAGATCCATCGGCTGCAGGTGTACGATTGCAGCGTTTGCAATTACAAGAGCAACAACAAGGGCACCCTGAAGAACCACTACATACGACTGCACACGAACAATTACAATTTTGCGTGCGACGTGTGCGGTAAACAGTTCAAGATCAAGAAAGCGTTGAACCATCACGTGAAGCAGAACCACAGCGACGCGCCGCCGATAGTGTGCGACGTTTGCGGCCACTTCAGCAAGAATCTTCACGCGCTGAAGGCGCACATGAAGTACAGACACTACAAGCCCGAGTTTATCTGCAGAATCTGCAGAAGGGGCATGACCACGCAAGAGAACCTGGAGCAACACTTGACGTGGCACGAGACCAGAGAGAAGGTGCTCTGTCCAACTTGCGGCAAGAGATTTCGAGGACGCGATCTCGACTCCCACATGCGGGTGCACACGGGGGTCAAGCCTTTTCCGTGTCCGGTCTGCGGCAAGTCGTTCAGAAGGCAGACCGCCCAGGAGCAACACGTACTCATCCACACCGGAAAGAGACCGTACGTTTGCGACATATGCGGACAGGCGTTCGCCCAGAAACCGGGTCTCATCTGCCACAGGAAACGCCATCCTGGACCCCTACCGCCGCTACCAGTCGTCTCCATCAAGAACATCGTCACGGAGTTCACCAAGGAGTACATTATGAAGAATACCATGATCAAAATCGAGTGAAACAACGACTCGTTTAGGCAAGATACTTGTTAGATAGTTCTCAAGATGGCGTCGAGGGGGGATGTAATTTGGACTCTTCGCTACTTGAACTTGTGTTTCAGTAGATAAAAGGAACGCGTATTTCTTATTTTTATATTCAAATTTTAATTCGGATATTATTCAAATACTTAGACCTATCGATATTGTGACGTGGACCATAAATCAAAGTCTTTGCCTCCATTGCTCTTTTTAAAACTTTATTTTCATTTAATATAAGCAGTAAAAAGTCACTATATTTCTAACTTGTAGTGAAAACACTTTCAAGAAAAGAACAATAACATACGAAATTTCATTTCAATGATAATCTTCAGTTATTAAATTTCGTCAAGGACTTCTAAATTTTGAGCGCACAGAAGTCGAAGTATCCTCAATTTTCTTCCTTCTGTCAGAGTTTAATCAATTAGCTACCCAAAGTCTGCCTTTGATAAGGACGAAAGACAAAGCGATGGGATAGCTTTCAGCGTCTTTAAGCAGTTGATTTCATTTCGACGATGAATTGCGTTTCGAGCAGCTTGGCGCTTCTATTTCTCAGAAAACAATGCACTTTCGTGACAATCGTTGTACAAAGTAATTACTGACTCCAACGCGACGCAATAACATGTACATTCACTCTGGAGCGAAGCGTAATCTGCAATTATAAGTGGGACTTTTTAAATAATTTTATATTCTCTTTCTACTGCCAATGAAGGGAGACCAATAATAAACAATGTTTGTAATACTTAAAGGTTTCCAACGCTCTCTATCTTCTTCTCATTGTTAACGCCGAAATCTTTACCGTTTTAAATGTTGTTTATAAGCGATGTTTGTACTTTTTACTGTATTATGAACTTTTGAATAAAATTAACATTCAAAATAACGCATAACTCGTACAATTATTTCGATATATATAATAAATTTAAAGATGTTTCCTTCGAAAGAACAAAACGATGAACGAAGAAGTACTATAAAATCCAGTTCACTGCATACTCGATATACAAATTCAACCGTTTACCATGGTCCATTCGCGGTAATTGAAACTTCACTGTTCGATACGAATGCATTTATAAATTGACCGTGAATTGTACCGTCTGCTAAAAATGGTTCAAGTGAGTAATCTCTGCATTTAAACACGTTACTCGCATCACGAATGCCGTATTTTAACGGGAACGGATCTGCTTTAATCTGTTTTAGTTTCACGTCGTCGGATCCTCTGAACGATCCCCTGAAAGACGCGAACGGCTCGGAGGAGTTTTGCTACATCAAAATAGAGAACTCGTACTCGTTGACGGAGTGCACGAAGAAGTCGCTGGAAAGGTCAGGAAAAATTACGTCCGCGGGTCGGAGGGCAGATTCGAGCGGGCCTCGAAAGAATTTATTTCACGTTGGAGCGAAAAACGCGTCGCAACAATGGATGCTCAATTTGGAGCACCGAGACATCGTTCGAAAGGCGTCGATGGTTGAGTCCGGTTTGCTCCTGGAGTGCGACCACTGTGGTAAATTTTTCCGTCAGAAGAATCACCTGAGATCGCACATGAAGAAGCACAAGCATCGTTGCAGCAGCTGCGACGAGACGTTCCTGCTGAAGAAGGACTTGAGGCTGCACGCAGAGGAGAAGCACGGCCCGGTGATCTATCCGTGCACCATCTGCGAGTACAAGAGCAACAACAAGTGGACCCTTAGGGACCACATCGTCAGGAGGCACAGCACCAGCTACGATCACGCCTGTCCCGTCTGTCACAAGAGGTTCAAGATCAGGAACGACATGAAACAGCACGCCAAGCAAGTGCACAGCAACGCGCCACCGATGAAGTGTCTGATCTGTGGCCAGACCAGCAAAACGCTTCCAGCGTTGAAGGCACACATGAGATACAGACACTACAAGCCCGACTACGAGTGTCGTATATGCAAGCGACGTTTGACCTCTCAGAGCAGGCTGGATCAGCATCTGCTCTGGCACGAGACGAGGGAGAAGGTGATCTGTTCCACCTGCGGTAAAACATTCAGCCACAAAAGGGACCTCGACATCCACGCGAGGATCCACGAGGGCATCAGGCCCTACGCCTGCCCGGTCTGCGGCAAAACGTTCTCCAGAAGGACCGCCCAGGAACAACACACGCTCATACACACCGGTCTGAGGCCGTACATTTGTGATATATGCGGGCAGGCTTTCACTCAGAAGCCGGGGTTGATTTGCCACAGGAAACGACATCCTGGTCCCCTGCCACAGCTACCCGTGATCTCCGTTAGGAAGCTCATCACAGAGTTCACCCAGGAGTTGACCACCACTGCCAAGAAGGACGAAGATCAAGTTGAAGCGAAAAAGGCTGAGATAAAGTGAAATACAACGTGACCTGGAATACTTCTTTATTGCGTTAACTGTCTCGCTAAATTCTCTGGAAGTCCTGCCAAACCACGCTTAACACGTTATGTGACGAAGACGTATAAGTATGTTCATCCGCAGACTGACCTCCAACGAGGGTTCGTTCGCTTTTGTGTCACGAAAGGTCGTACATAGCACTGGAAGATTACCCTGAGGAACAAAACTGAGCATGGAATTTTAACGTAAATAATGATTTACACGCTGTTAAAAAGAATAGAAACTACGTGATATCACTATTTTTTTGAAAAATTGGTAACATTCAAACTCGGTATATTTGTTTTGTATATTATACAGCCATTCCATCTTGCTCTCTCTACTCGTCTAATTTAATTTGTATTTTTTGTCTCGTGACGACGAATGAAGTGGTTAAATAAAAGACAAGAATAGCAAGAAAATAAAAGGACACAGGCAAAATTGAATAAGTGCTTGGTTAAGCGACCCGCAGACTATGGAGATCAACTCGAAAGTTTGCTCGTGTACTTTTTGACGCGAGGAGGATCTAACTCTGAACCCTTTACGTTTACTCTTGCCGAATTATTTCTTAACCCTTATTAAAATAAGACTATTCGGAGAAACGAGAACGAGACTGTAAATCTTACAGCCTCAGAGTGGATCGTTATTATTCGTTGAACACTGTTGAAACTTAACCATTCTGTGACGTAATTCTCGAATTTTTTTACAAATTTTGTATGCATGGTGAAATCTGAACATAGAGAATGTTTTAGAGATATTAACAGTTTATATTTTCTTCGAAACTATGTCAGTTTGTGTCGCTTTGTACAAATATGGGCGATCGCTTCCATGTGAAAGTATAATGTAATAGCTAATAACGATTTAATGTATAGGCGAATTGTAATTATATCGTGCAAAATAAATGATTCTTTTAGATAAAATGTGGGAACGAGGAAAGAAAGGTTAATTTTGTATTTTTATTCCGATTTTGTACATCGAATTTTAACCGAAAAATGATATATCATCGAACATAGGTAGGTATTGCTTGAAAATAACAACAAGCTTTTATCGTAATAACCAGCTTAAAATACGACGAAGTGCACTTGCGACACTATAGTTTACGAGTAACAAATGAGCAATAAGGTGGGCAACAGTTGCCAAAAACTTCGACGAGAAAATTCTGTGATTGTTCCGTTCGTATCGAGGATGATTGCGAATTGTTGATCCAGTGATTTAAATATACGAAGATAAATCTCGTTCTCGTAATTTACCAAGAATGTTTTAAGAAAATCTAAGTTATTTGTTGCTGGTAAGAAAGATCTTGGAAAGCATACAACAATTTTGAATCGAATCAAACGTCTCGGACATATTTTAAAATACATTCGAACGAATTCCTAAAGATGAGAAATATGTAAAGTAATATTAATAGAAAACCAGGAACATCGACATCAGTGACAAGATCTAAGCTGAAATTATTGTACAGAAGAAGTCTAATTTTTCATGAATTTGTAGTTTCATTTGCAAACATTAGAAAAGACCCAGAATTAGCCCTCTCAACATTATCTGTATCGTCGAGGAAGGGTACTAGAATGACCCAAGCAGTTTTATCTTGGGTCCTATCTATTCGATTCGAGTCTATAATGTCGCAGAAACTTAACCAGGGACTAAACCCGTGACAACGCGTACCAATAATCGCGATTACACCGTATGCTTCATAAACGCCCCTGTTTCAGATCGCGAAGAGGAACGTCGCGGGCGGTCCACGAGTGCGTGAAATGCGGAGCCTGTTTCTGCCACACGAGAAAGCTGGTGGAGCACCTGAAGAACCTGCACGACATCGACAAAGCGTTCAGCTGCGACGAGTGCGGCAAAACGTTCAGGAGCCCGATGAACATAGCCCGCCACAAGCTGATCCACACCGGTTTCAAGCGATTCGCCTGCGACCTGTGCGATTACAGATCGAACCAGAAGTCGAATCTCGAGAACCACTGCAGACGGCACACGAAGGACTACTCGTTCAGGTGCGAGAGATGCCAGAAAGGCTTCTTCCTGAGGACGGAGTACCTGGAGCACGTGAACGTTCACACGAGGAAGCAGCTGTTCCGCTGCGAGCACTGCGACAAGTCGTATCCTTACAAGAAAAATCTGACGGCGCATCTGAAACGCCAGCACGCAAATGTTCTGCCCGTGGAGACCGCGAGAGACGATTCGAAACGCAAGCACGTTTGCAAGATCTGCCTGGAAGGTTTCGCGCAGAAACTGTTCCTGGAAAGGCATTTGAAGAAAACGCACGGACTGCGCGACAAGGCGAAACATTTGTGCGATCTGTGCGGCACGGTGTTGTCCTCCAAGAGGAGACTGATGGTGCACAGACGCGGCCACGTGAACGAGAAGATCGCTAAATGCGATCTCTGCGGCAAGGAGTTCGCCAGCAGGGAGAACCTGAGCATACATCGGCGTGTACACACTGGCGAAAAGCCACACGTTTGCTCGCAGTGTGGCAGAGGGTTCTCGCAAAGGACGTCGTTGATTTTGCATTTGAGGTACCATTCGGGAGAAAGGCCGTATCAGTGCTCAGACTGCGGCAAGGGATTCGTCTCCGGAAGCTTCCTGAAGAAGCATCGCAAGATACACGAGAAATCGTCCCAGTCGGAGACCTGACCGCGATGAAACGAATCAGGCGGTAAAGGATGTTTAATTTATAATTATAAGCTGAACTTATGACTGTGTTAAGAAATTTTTGAGGGAGAATAAAAAGTTAATGACCACACTGACCCTGCATTTTATTCAAGAATTCGACGACGATATTAGGTCGAAGATCCGGGTAGCTTTCTCTGCTACTCTGCTTTAACCATCGCGCATTTACAAAAGCATCGGAGATTCGCTTTTCTGTTTCCAGCAGGAAATTCGCGATAACAATAAAATTTCATGATTTCTTTTCGAAAGCATACATGATGCTTTATGTAAATGTGTACCGTTGTCAATGAAGGATCCCCTCATTCCAGCCAGTGGATCGACGATCACGACGAGCTTACCAACTGCGAAGAATTCAGGATCAAGAGCGAGGACGTTCTTCTCGATCCAGGGCAGAAGTGAGTTACACACAAAAAATTTAAAAAAACTTCACTCCATTACAAAGTTCAATAAAAAAATAGAAAGACTATTTTCAGTATTTAACATATCGATACTCGAATCTCAATTCTATCTGTGATTAATTGTTGGACGATCGACGAAACGCCGGTTGCTTTTGAAACGTTACAGATTCGAGAGCAACGAGAAGGCCTGCGACCTTTGCCAAGAAAAGTTTCACTTCGTGACCAGATTGGTGGCGCACTTGAGAATCGTTCACGGTATTCACAGGCCGTTCAAGTGCGTCACCTGCGGAAAGACATACCCGCAGCAATTTATGCTAAACGCGCACGTGAAGAAATCCCACACGCCGAAAACGATCCCCTGCGTCCAGTGCAGCTTCATGGGAGTGAATTCCATCGACGTGGAGAGGCACGCGAAACGACACCACCGTGAAATAAAGTTCACCTGCGAAATCTGCAGCGAGAACTTCGTCGACAAAGATTCCCTGATGACGCACACCACCATGCACAACTTTATGCAGTATCAACAGTGCAACGCGTGCGGTAGCATCTTCAACGATGTGTACAGGTACGACATTACTGTTTATTAACGATTCACGATGAATTATATTTAAAATTAAACTCGTAACATCAGAGTAGAGGTATGCATTCTTTATTTTCGAGAAAATTCAATCTCGAGATCCGTTGATGGATATACATACGTATTCTCAACACTTTTAATGCCATTACGCTAGATATTTTTAGCAAGTTTCGTGCTAGCGGTCTTGGATCAAGGTTACTGGGAGATTTACTTGGATTTTTCAAATTAATAACAGTTTTTGATTTTATGAACGTTCTTGGGTCTTTTAATAATTATTTGGAAACCTGTCTTTCAAGTGATATTCCAAATAATACTCGAGGCCATAGATCGAGGGGATAATATTCTGGGAGCAGCCTTCAAAATGTACCTGAAGTTCATAATGTCGTTAGCTGCAAACAAAGGCGACTGTAACCAACTCATATAGTGGGTGGTGAAAATATGACGAGGTCGTTAAAGTACTAGAGGGTGAAGACGGTAGCTTGAGTGTCGGGAATCAAGAGGCCAGGGACGATTCTGTATAGTTTCTAGACTCCCAGTGCTGTAACGTACCAACCTTCCTAGCTGAAATATTTTCTTCCTGACTCAGCCTATTTTTACGTTACCCAAACTCTGCGTCACCCAATTCTGATTCATGTTTCGAAACACTGTGTCTTAAATTAGTTTCCGCTTCCACACGTTTCATATTAAAAAATATTTTCTAACTCGAAACAAGCACAGAAGGGGCATTGCATCGAGTCAACGATATTAAAAATTAATTTGAGAAGAAGTTTGCGTGAAACAGAAATAAGTGGAACGAATGTTCCAACGAATATACATCATATTATAATCATTTTCTTAGAGGAGGAAATAGTTTGCAGTTGTATGGAAACCAACTAAAAATTTTCAGTTTAGTTCGATCCCTGCTCTATGGAATGCTTATCCATTACAGTGCATTAAGAATCTAGGTGCACCAAGGGTAAGCATGCATTGCGTGTCTGTACGGCCCTGAAATGAGTGGCACGAAATACACTTGACGGCTTGTATCATCAAGATTGTCGCCTGACTACCACTTCAATGTACCTCAAGTACCTCGCTATAGTATAGCCATCAAAGAACGAGTTGTCCACAGTCGTCTGCATCTGCAGATACCCAGATTACGAATTTTAGATCCATTTTTAACACATTTACTGTCCCCCGACCCACATGTCGGTCAAAACGATGCTCGGGAGTCCCTGACCCATATATGGGACAAAAGAATCTTATGGCTTCTTGGGTCGAGTAAGCGACGCCTCCGCTCATGGGAATAATAAATCTATCAAAGGGGTTTTCTGCTTTTACTGCAGGAAAAATGGGTAACTCTCGGGGAGCGAATAAAATAAAAGATTTGAAATTTCGATGATAAAAAATTACGACGAAAAGTCGACTACTGTAACATGCAAATGTACCATATCTCGAGCGAATTTTTCCATGACGCATTGAATATAAATGGAGGAATAGATTTTTTGTGGGAACACTTAAAAACAATAGTCTATTCATGACCCATAAATAATGTAGAAGAGTTACGAGAACGAATGGAAAACACGAGATTCGAGAGGAATACTCGCGGATGTACGTTGATCAATGACTCGTAGATGTGGACTTTGCATTCCGGCAGAGGGGAAATGCATGGGAAACTCACTGTGACAAAGAAGGCTTGTATTAAATTTGCATTTATGAAAGTATGTTTATTGATGCTAGTCTAATAATCTTGTTGACAATCTCGAACGTTTTTCTGAATCGAGTCCTCCATTTCCATTCAATGCGTGCAATGTTTAAAACATTCGAATGCTTTAAAACGCTGTGCAATGCCGAGAAACTCGCTCGAGGCATCGAACACTCGTAGAAGTTGATTTCTCGTTGAAAGGATTAAATTCTGAACCCATTTTTTTTATTTTAATCGTTCCTTCGTTTGTGTCAAATATATTACTGTGAAGTAGGTTCTCATTGACATTCTGAAAAATTTATTTTTGGTTACGGGGGTCAATTACAATCATTTTTGGTGAATACACATACCCACGAAATCCTAACCATTTTCGAGAAAAAAATTCAGTAAGTGGACAAATTTTCGACGAAATTAAAAAATTACAAATTATTGTGAAAAAATTATTTTTGGTTACGGGGGTTAATTACAATCATTTTTTGTGAATAGACATACCCACGAAATCCTACACACTTTCGAGAAAAAAATTCGAGATGCTAAAATTTTCGACGAAAAAAAAAAATTTTACATCGTTCTGGGAAAATTATTTTCAATTGCAGGGGGCAATAACAATCATTTTTGGTGAATAGACATACCCACGAAATCCTAACCATTTTTGAGAAAAAAATTCAGTAAGTTGTCAAATTTTCGACGAAATTAAAAAATTACAAATTATTGTGACAAAATTATTTTTGATCGCACGAGTCAATTACAATCATTTTTAGTGAATACGTATACCCTCGAATTCCTATGCACTTTCAAGAAAAAAATTCCTAAATAAAAACGTTTAAAAAATCGTAACTCCTGAACGGATTGGAGGATTTTAAAATTTAAAAATCCAAACAACACCTATTTTGGCGTAGAATATGTAGAAATTCTAACAATATTGAAAAACTTGTTCCTTGACCCCGTAATGTGAGAAAACCCCCATAAAAATGGTCCATTTCCTCGTTTTTATCACTTTATATGTAGGTATAGTCCATTTATCCGGCATATTCGATTTTCCAGCATTACCTCAGTCCCGACTATGCCGGATAATCGGAATTTTACCACGATTGTTGTCCTTTACCACGATATTTATACAGTTTAAAGGAGCACAATCAACTCTATCACTACCACCCCACGGCGTTGATGCAAGAAAAGCTCGAGGAGGGGGACCAACAGGCTCTGGCGCACAAATGCGACGTCTGTGGTAAAGTTTACAAGTACAAGTCCGTGCTGAAGCAGCACAAAGTGAAGGCTCACGGCGACACTCCGAGCTACGAGAGACGGAGATACCTGTGCGCCCTTTGCGGCAAGGAACTGAAGACCGCGAAGGGCCTGGAGATCCATAATCGCTCGCACACGGGCGAAAAGCCCTACACTTGCGAGGTCTGCGGCAAGTGCTTCGCCTGCGAGACCCTGCTGAGGACTCACAACGTCACGCACACCGGGGAACGAAAGTATTCCTGCGACCAGTGTGGCAAGGCGTTCACTCAGAGGTCCACACTGGTGGTTCACAAACGCTACCACACCGGTGAACGGCCGTACGTTTGCACGCGTTGCGGGAAAGGCTTTGTGACGAGGACCGTTTTGAATACTCACATGAAGTCCTGTCGCTGAGGGAGGGCGGACTTCCGTTTGCTGGAAGCGAAATGAACCGACGATAAAAGTTACGCGTCCGGGAAGGAGCAGTGCTCCGAGCACTTTGATACTCGATCCCTCGACGCGTGGAAAATACGCAACGATTAGAAGTTATCAATTTGAGAATTAAATTTCAAAATCAACACAGGGAACAGTTGACGTATGCAGGAGCCATTTGATATTATTTTTCACGATGAAGTAGCTTTATTTTAAATATATTAGCGACAAATTGAATGGGGTAGTATGTTACCCCCCAATGAATCAAGGGGTTAAGTTATTGCAAAGCTCGTGAATGTGGAGCGTTACTTCAGGGATCAAATTCAGTACATTAATGAAATAGTTTATGAGTATTTGACTGTGATATTTTAATTACACATATTTCGTGTGTATTTATAATCCAGTCAAGTCAAACTGATTCTCATTGAATATTCACTTATCTTATCTTATCTCACATGATTTCGCTGGCCGTATGCAAACACTCCCATGGAATGATTTATGAAATTGCAACAGTCTCTTGATACATCGAAAATTTATAACAATGCTTCCTGTGGAGATAGATGAAACTCAGAAACAACTCGGACAAAACGAACGTTTCCCGCGAGCATTGTTTCACTGCTAATCGCAAATTCAATCTGTTGATTCATTATTGACAAGGTGCTTTTCAATTAGATAAGCCAACACGTTTTATTGTTTACCAATGTTATCTGTACTGAATTTCTCTCTGAAATTACGCTCGCACGGTTGGACGCCACACCTCGCGGCATAAATGATAGTCCTTGGGATACATATGTGGAATCGGGACAACCTTTGCGGATAAAGTTATCTACCCGAGGTGGATTAACCGTTGGAGCGCCGAAATCGATCGCTTTAAAGATGACAGCTTTCGCCGTTCCGTTCCGAGGTCTAAACTCTCCCTTTAACACGTTTACTATCGCGCTTTAGGCGAACAGAGCGTTTGTCTACGGGTAGGCGATCATTCAGAGAACGAGATTACTTGGAAAAATAAAAAAAAAATACGAAATTAATAAATTAGAATTAAAGAAAATGCGCGTAAAACGTGTCTTCGTTGCACACGAATTTTCATTTTATTTTGGCACGGAGAATCGTGCCTCAAAATTTCGAATACCTACGCCGAACACCCTATATGCACGTGATGCTCCGATTCTCATGATAGACCAACGTCACGTATGCATGACAGCGATGATTGTCTATTTTAAGTCTACACGAGCAAATGAAGTATGAACTATAGACCCGTGTCACATTACGTGCAACATATTACACAGAATGTTCAGTCGGCCTATTTGATAGATTTTATTTGCACGTAAATAAAAAACCGTGGATCAAACGCGACAGCGAACGTGTTAAGTAATGTGCGCGTGATAATAAATAACGTACGAATATGTTTTCGTATGAAATAGGAAAAGCGAGATTAGAAATTGTACGAATGCTGAGGAGAGTAATATTTTCAAAATAACTTGAACGGTTCAATTCCTGTAACAATTTTTTAACAGCCAGCGTGTCTTTATTATATCCCTGTGTTTATAAACGACACGTTGTTGACCACCCACCGTGGCGGAGGGACGGGTCTTTGTTACTATTTTTTTACCAATTTATCCTCGCTGACCGTATCAATAAGGTTTTTAAGCTCGCAGAATTTTTATACTCGCAAACGCTGCGATTACAAAGCCGTCCTCGATACTAGTATTCGCATACAACAAACCGTTGTAAATTTAGTTATAGGAAGTATTTTTCAGCGTTCCACGAGACGCAATTTTATAGCGATTTCTGGACGAACGTATCTTCTTCGTCGATTTTCAGGCGATAAAGAAAAATTCCTGATCGGATATTAGACAACCGTAAACGCAATTGGAACGAAGTTGGTGATTTATTACCAGTTAAAACAATACTTGTGTACGATGTGATAAATCCAACGCTAGCTTAGATTTCTATTTTTTTATACACGATTTTTTATACTTTTTGTACACGCGTAACGTTCACTGCGATAATCGTTCGCAACTTAAATACTCGTCGAATTAACTGGCAATTTTTATCGTGTCCCGTTGCGCAGAAACGCAGAGATGGTATTAATCGTCGCTACTTTTGTATCATCGTTCAAGGCTTTAGGTATTCCCGCGAACCATCGCTGCGTTTTTCTTTTATTATTAGAAAAACCCTACGAGTTTTCTAGCGAATAAAAAACTGCTATAGTTCATCAATACTGTGAATTTATTGTCTCGTTCGTATATCGTAACATAACTCATAGCTCGGCGCTCGAATGACGATTCGTTCAAAAAAACGAACTTGGTTTCGTGTCGTATAAAATATTTAACAAACGATAAACGTTCTAAGTTACAAAAATAAACGTGTACAATTAGAAAAAAAAGAAAAAAAATGAAAAAAGAAAAACAGTCTTACCAAGATGGAGAGTAGGTATTGTTTTATTTTTGTGGGGGGCTTAGTATCGAGAGACGCGAGTGGGACAGGTACCGGGGAGGATCAAGGACTTCAGTAGAACACTAGAACCGAGGCTGGATCCTCGATACGAAAATCCACACCTTGATCCATCATTTTGTGATCGTAGTGGTAATTAATGTCGTTCAACACGGCACGATTGCGGGCGTTTACGTTCCGTGGCTTCACGTGGATCGTACGAAAACCTGTGGTGAATGTTATAGTCTTTAACAGGGACGTATACATGTTTCTTTTTCTTGGAAAAAGTGTATCGTAAATAATTAATCGGGGAATGTTGTTAGAAGCGTTCAGAAGTTTACGATGGACATAGGAAACGTGAAAATGGTCACGAAGGTACGATCGATTTCGTTCGCGTAATAGATCTCTAGCTTTCAGGTCGACGTGCACTATTCTACTTACAAGTTTTGCTCTCGGCTTGTAGCTGACAGATGTCCCTTAACGTGTCGAGACTCCTTATTATGCCATCGTACTGTAATCTTGTTAAGTGTTTGCAACGCACGAGCATGGCGATGAGTAAATCGTCGAGCTGTTCACGATTGTTTCTCAGTTGTAGCATCACTTCCGCTACAGTGACACATACGCATACGTTAGACATTCGTAATCGCGTTTAGCGGTCAGAAAACGTTCGTTTCCAGCGGATTGAGAATTAGAAAAGACAATCGAGCAATTTGCATCTTTCTCGTCTGCCAAGCGACGAACACTCAACCACTTAACTTGGTAACTCAATCACTGGATAAACAAGCGAAACCACGCTTGCAATTAGCGACTAAGATCAGAATAGAAAAAGAAACATTTAAATTTCAGAGTCTAAGAGTTGAAATGATAGACAGCTAGTTTCACAGTGGTAGTCCGTATTTTCATAATTTGTACGATATCATCTAGCCTCGCTAGAGCAGTAAAATTTGCAAGAATTCATTTATACCTAGCGTGTTGGTGTAATGGTCGATAAGCAGCCCGACGGTGCTTCTAAAGTTACGAGATCTGCTCTGGTCCCACACATGGCCGCTGAACATTTGAAACCTAGCCAACGGCACGCTGGGCAACAGCAAGTAGCACATATCTTCGTAATGGGAGATGTTAACTGGAAATCAAACTTAAAAAGCTAAATGCGGTATAGAATCGAATGTACGGGCTATTAATGAGATGGTGTCGCGAAAATTTACGTAGCTCTGTGTTATATTGTACCTATGGTGTAGGAGACGGTGAGATCGGGGCAAACCGTGACCAGATTGTGCCAAGCGCTGTCCGCGATCGTGTGTTGTCTCGAATCAGAGTCCCGTACGGATACGTGCAAAGTTTTCAGCAGCTTCGGGGCCGCGTTCGCCAAAGCGTTCAGGGTCTGGTCCGACAGGGCCGGGTAATCGAGTCTGAGGATGGTCAACGCTCGAAACCGACCGAGCAGACGCAGATACCTAAAAGATTCGTTTCGCGAAAGGAAGACTCGACTCGATTCATCGACGCGAGCTGTGTAACGAACCCGTTGCCTTGCAATAATGAATCACACTCATAGAGTAGATTACGGTCCAAATGGTACGGATACGAGTCACATTAATGACGCACTAGCAGCATCCTGTTTTCTTGTCGTGTTCAGCCTCTGCATATAATTACGTGCACAATACGTGCATATAATTTAGCGAACTCATGCGACTGTAATAGTCATCTGTTTTGCATCTTGATCTTAGGAAAATTATCGAGTTCTTTGGAGATAACTGTTGTGTAATATCCCAGATAAGGTGGGTCAAAACGCGTTGGAACAATTCTTTCTGTTTAACTCCGATTCGAGTGGCTATTAAAAAGAATTGCGAGGCAACGGGTTGGTAAAAATTGTTCCTGGTACCTCGAGTTACTGTGTGGAGTCTGCCATTCACGGAACGCTCCGCGGAGGTCCAAGTATGCCAAATGTTCGCTGCAACCTTTGGAAGTGCTAGCTAGAAGCCGCAACACGTCGCTCACGCCGAGATTCGCGTTCAACAAACTCAACGTTTCCAAGTTGTGCTGACAGCTACGTAAACGTATCGATTACGTGGACGATAATCGTGTAAGAAGAAGTTAAAGCGTTTAAACAACACGATAGAATTACGTATTGGGCTGCCACAGAGATTCTTACGGATTCTTCTGTACAACGTCTCGTTAATACCTTGACCTCTTGTAAGTGCACGCGCTTACGAACAAAAGTCGAGAGACTTTCGATTTAGACTGGTTATCGCGAACAATCGAGCGACATGTTAAGAAATTTCGGACACTTCCTGGCGAACACAGTAAAAATAGCAATCGGGCTAAATGAAGAGTTACGTTCCATTAACTCAGGAAATTAGACGGACAATTGCGACCATCAGTGACTTTAAAACATCTTGACTCGTACGTCGGGGAATCCGTCTTAAGAATTGAATATGATCTTCCGTTATTAAAAGAAATTAGGAACAGAAATCATTATTAAATAAAACGTTTATGTCGACGAATACGTAAACATCGTTCGTCGACTACGTTCGTGAAATAATTAGTTTGTTTTCGTTATTATCGACGACCATGAATAACATTAATATCGCGAACCGATGGTTATGTTATTGACGCGTTAAATTCACGGTAAATATCGATTGCGTTGAAATAATTTCATCGAAAGGTATCGCGCGAAGATTTTTCAGTACTTATCTTATCGAGTTGGCCTGGCTCGACGTGTCGATTACAGAAAAATATTATTGAATCAAATCTGACGATGTATCTCGATCTGATTCATTCGTAATTGTATCGTGCCACAGATGAGCAGTTCGTTTCAACACCTTTAAGAATGAGGACACTCAATTACCCTAAGAAGTTCGCAAGAGCATACAGCAATTTGTCTCTGTTCCCCCATTTGCAGCTGAAGATCCAGTCGGTGAGTATTAGCTTCCTCAATTGAACGTTCATGGCTCGCACGACCGTAAGGAAATCGGCACCAGCTTCGGCCTGAATGTTACGAGTAATACGTGCTTCCCTTGGCAAAATATACGGCCGTGACCAGGCGAGTTCCAGGCTACGCATATGCTGTCCATACTTTGCCTAAACCAATGGATTCGAACACAGTTTGGTAATCGTCGAGTACAAAGGTACAGATTTCTTAAAATTTTTCACACAGATTTATTAAAAAAAAAAATTAATATAATTCGTGTTCAAAGGCTAAGGGATTCTGTTTAAGATTAGAAAAACGTCAAACGCGTGATAAGTATATTAGAAAAGTCCTGCAACGTGTTCCTTCGACGATGGACACAACTAAGAAATTTTACAGAACTATTTCAGTAATGGGACGTGAATGTCTCGTAGTGAAAGTGTTTAAAGGGACGGTGGGGCGAAAATTAACCTTAGAAGAATGGAAAACACGCTTAAAATTAAATACTAAATCAAATTTGTGATCGAGAATCGGAGAAACTTTCGACGTTTTATGTATCGTCTACGTACAGCTAAGTCTCCCGCCAATGGAAAGTCACCCCGTAGATCGCAATCAATGAGAATTGTTACGGAACGCCAAAGAATCGGCGACGATAGTGCACGATTCCATGACTGGCAAACTTGTGCAACGCTGGCACGATCCCCACGACCGAGGTGACCGAATATCTGCGTCAATATCAGCTCCGGTAGCTGATCCCACATCTCCCAGTTTCAGCTTGGCCCGTCTTCATCTCTACCTGGCTGAGACAGCTGTCGCAACCCCGTTCAGGTTCTCTTGTCAGTCGTCTCGATATCGAGTCGATCGTCATTGAAAGCTCACGAGCAGCTGCGCGAATTCACGAGGAATCAAAGGCATGAATTGGCGCTCGATCGAACTTTCGATTTTAATTCTATTGGAGGGCACAACGGGATGACACGTGCAATCCACTGCAGAAGGCTACGTACGAGGATCGTTTGAAAAGTCCGTTTTGAATTTTAATGAATGACAGATTAAACTCTTATAAACTAAAGCTCGAATGTTTGCATTCCTCGAGAATTCCGCTGTCTAACAGACACGCTTCAGAGTCACTGTTTCGAGACGCATAAACTAGAACTCGTGCCCTTGAAACCACAATCTGAGTTGTAAAAGAGATTTAAAAATATTGTACGCGTGAACCATCCATTCTTATTATACGACTGATATACCAGATTCAATCGTGAAAAGGTTGTTTATTAATCACAGTATGCTCGGTTATCTTTTACGCACCGATACCAACGAATAACGAGTTCTTTTCATTTACGATGCACACGAATCGGACGTTGAAGTATTGAACAGAAATGCGTTGAATAATGTAGCAATGCATGTATCTAGTTTGCGTCGCCAGGAATAGAACAAAAATTTACAAATTTCAAAGTGAAATTTACGTAACCAATAACGTGCCACGTATTGTTCTTAAGTTGGACGCGGATGTAAACGGACAAATACCAAGTTTTACGTAACGACCTTAAAAATAAGTTGAAGGATTATCGAAATCATTATTGAATTAATAGTTTACTTTCTTGGCGGCATAAATAAGTTTTCCCGTTTATTGGTTCAACGTTGCGGCAAACTTGGTGCCGCAAAATCCTCGCAGATGGCGTCGCGTGCGCCGAGAAGCTGCGCGTAGCCCGCCGCGCCGCGGACTCGATTAACAGTCAGTACGCGGGGTGCGTTCGGTGCACATGTACTGGTGAGTACGTGGGAATGAGAGTGCAACGTAATTTATAACGGCGCAATGTCAAGGACTAAACTGACCACAAATTATAGCCACTGCCGTCACCAAACAGCGATATTGTGTACTCCTTAGAAACAAACACTTCGTCGGGCAATTACATAATTGTTTGATCTTGGTCTTTGACCCTGAATCTAACCTGTCCACGTGCTGCGTCTGCACGTAGAAGCATACACGAGAACTGTATAACGTGAACAACGTTGCGTTGACGGAACGAGAGATCTGTGTCGTTGCCAATTCCCTCTGAAATATTACATGCATCGATGAAAAGTTGCTCATTGACGCTGCCAAGACGAAAGAATGAAGGAAGAGAAGGATAAAGTGCTGGACGAAGAACAGTGGAAGCACGAAGCGCAAGCTGTCATCGATGACGTGAAGCAACATGTAACCGACATAAAAGTATCGGAGACGTTAAGGAGTACCAACCAGCTTATCTATCTGAATCTGACCACGTTGGAGGGCTTAAAGTTTTGCATAAAATTGTCGAGTGCTGGATTTTCTGTCGTCGGCAATCAGCACGACGATACGTCGAACACGGGGAACGAACATTTCGAAACGCCTTACAGTTTATTGGACCTTGTCAGTCCTCAATATAGAAATTCTTTTGGCAATTCGCTCCTCGACAAGCTTAAAAAGGTGTGCGACGAACAGTGAACAAATTCGATGGAAATTTTTGGTACTTTTGCACCCATGTATTTAATTTCTCATTGCAAATGCTTCATCGCAACGTGAAACGCGTGTGAACGGTAACGAAGGTTTGCATTTAATCGTTTGCATGCATGTATTTCAAAATTAAACGCTCGAATGAAAAATAAATCTTGGATACTGGTCGAATGCGTTCGTTCCCTGCGCAGTGTTCATTTAGTCCGAAGGTAGCAGAAGATGTCCGAGCACGCAGTAATTTGCAAGGACAGGATCGTATTCGATACGTAGTAACAAGTGTTCTAACGTTCTCGTGTGTTTTTGACGTAAGCCGAGAAATGCTGCCAAGAAAGTTTCTTGACCAGGCAGACCACTAAAAGAACACAATTCCGTATTAAATACGACTCGCACATTATCGCTAAATGAAATCACCTGATACCCATATAAAACGTATACTACTTGAAAGTAGTGATATCTAATTGTACTGTGGTATCAAACAAAGCACTTTTGTTTATCTTAGAAAAATACGTTTTCTAAATATACGCATTCAGTAAACATCCATGAAGAAATATAGATACAAACATAAAATAGAAAATGTCATGTAACGAGTTTAGTACACAATATATAGTTCGAATGTGAATGCCTTATACAAATAATATTCTAATTTAAAAAAAAGAAGTTTGGATCTCTAAAATAAATTTCTACATATTTTCATTTCTTAATTACTCATGCCATATTCGAAGTACTATTTTATTTCCAATTGCTTTGGCATTTATTGTTTAGTGCAACATTTTAAATGCTTTTGTTTCAAAATGTACCCAGGTCCGTGTGCGATAGATACGGGAATGCGTTATCGACGAATCATACGTTCCTAGGAAATATCCCTAGGAATCGGAAGATCAGTCGGTGCAGTGGTTATATCGGTTGTGTTTACCCCCTCCTCTGCGTTCGTTGCTCTATGCCCCGTTTGGCGTATTCCACTGTCGAGTTGTGAAGTAACGAAGCGGTTTCGCCGAATGTGTCGCATTGTGTGCGGATTTCGTAGTGTTTCTGAATGAGTTTATCATCGATCAAGTGCTTGGGAACGACACAGTGTATTCTATTTATTAGCATTGCATTCGCCAGTGCAACGATGTCGAACAGTGAGCGATGACACGCCCGTGAAAAACGATAACGACGGCGATCCTTTGATTGACCAGACACGACAGAGAAAACGTACTGAGCAAAGGACCCTCTTTGTGTATTCGTGTGACATTACGTCGAACAAAACATGCTTCAACCACGAGCTACGTTTATATGGCGGTAAAAAGGGTAAGTCGCAAACATTTCTATAAATCGAGTGTCAAAACCATCGCCGAATTTTGACAGGTCGTTTGTTTTTATTCGACGATCGTACCCTATTTCACAATATCAGTATGAAAGGGGTGGGACAATCACCTCCTATATCTCTTTTAAGCCTACACAATTCCAAGTGGTATCGTACGAGCGTAAATGAACCCCGATAGTAACGTAATATCACAGGTTGCTGTACTTTGTCAATTTCCACCCGATATCTATAGATGTGTATTTTAAATTTCCGCATTACTGTTATATTTTTTTTTTACCGCGAATACGTGATTTCCCGACAAAATTTAGCGGTTTAATATAGATTGTTTTTCAAGGACTATTTATGTTATACATGTTTTTATAACCGAACAAAATAGTATTGTTATTCGCAATACAAATAGTTAATTTACATCAGAAGCGTGGTATAGCGAAATTTGTGTCATGCATTTCAAAAGCTTGTACACAACATTTTCTTGCGTGCTATATATTTATATTTATTATTTTCTTAGAGTTGCTATATACTACGAGAAAAATATTATCTAACAAAATAAAGGAAGCAAAACAAGTTTAAAAACCAAGTTATTGTATTATGTTTGATTCATATAAAATAAATAATAAATTAAATATTTCATTTTGTATGCTTGCTGATGTAATGTTTTTGTTTATTATAAATTTCGATATATTGATCGTATTTTGTACTTACGTTATTTACTTATGTATGTAATTACGATTTTGAATTATTTTTCAAATACAAATAAGAACAATTTTTTAGCTTTTTATTATTGTACATTACTCGTGTTTTTTTCCGCGTAACATGTTGGTCACAGTTAAGAAGTAATGTCGATAGTCTAATTATGATGATAAGAGTGATTCATCAGTTCAAGGATTGGGTTAAAGGTGATAGAATGTGAAAGAACTGTCTCACAGTCTCTTTCAGAAGTTCTTTTATAGAGCAGCACATTTTTTAATTCGGTGATTTATTCATTATTTCGTTCGAAAAAATGTGATTTTTTTAATACTAATTTTCACAATTATAATTATAAAAATAACGCTAATAAATATTAATTAGTTCATAATCTAATCGCTATTATAAAATATATTTTGTTCTAAAGAATGTAATAACAGTAATTTTAACCCAAATATCCTATATACTATTTTTGGACAGGTATAATCCATATATATATATATATATATATACACAAAGTTTAAATTGGATAATATCACACTTAGAGAAAATTGTAACTTAAAATAGGTAAACAGAATACAAGTGGAATACAATTATTTATTTTACAGTTTATTCCTTTTGTCATATAAATATATATCTTTAATCAAATAAGATATGCGAATGAACCTAAATCCTGTATTAGCTTACATCATATTAATTCATAAATTATTTTGTTGATGAATTTTATGTGTTTATTTTATATAATTGAGTCTGATATGAATTGACATTTATGTCTCATTTTGATAATTTTTAATGAAAAATGTTCTTCTAGATATGACAATATATAATAAAAAATATACAATACATTCATGTACATGATAATGATATCATATAAATTAATAGTGTGATACACAGTTTAAAGGAAGTTATATTGCAAATGATTATTAATTTACAAATACTTCTCATAAGGAAATAATATAATGTTATTTTTTTTTTTCATATATTATACTTTGTAACATACTTAGAAGTTCTCAATATAATAACAGTTATAATATCCATACATGTAAGGTGTCCTACAATGAGTGGTACTAAGAAAGATGTAATGTTAAATTGAAAAATATATCAATAACATAAAATACATTTTTTATGAAATGTTATTTCATATTTCTGATTTGTTTTATACGTGTATAAATAAATATATAATTGCTTCTTTTTTGGGTGTAGTACTCATTGTAATACATCCTGTCACATATTTACACAATCTCATTGTATGTATAAATTCATAGATTTAGTATAAATGTTGTAATAATTAAGTTGTTAGATAACAAATTTTTCAGAAAAAGGGAATGGCTAATTTGATGGTGACTGTTTCAAGTAAAAATAGTTCGCGCAGTACATCACCCAACAGAGGAAATACGGTGACTACTTTGCCTCAACAAATACCAGCTAGTTTGGATCGTACGCCGAAAGCACGTAATGCTCCACTGTAAGATTCAATTTATTCTAAACGTGTCCTGTTAATATATATGTTTGCATAGATTACAATTAAACAACTTTATTTTTTTATAGTATTTTACATGAAACTGAAAAATTCAGAAGCTTGTGCTTTGGTACCATGTACCTAATGATATGATATACAATAATTTCGTTCTTGCAAATATGAAAATTAAGTTGCTAAACAAAAAAATTGTTAAGCTAAAGCTATAAAGTAAATGAAAGAAGAACAGTACAAAATTAAATTTGACTTCGCAGTTCCCAAACAGGGGAGGGTAGTACTGGCAGTGGAAGTAGTGGTGGTGGAGGTACTATCAGCATGAAAGGTAGTAGGCAAAAGTCACCAGGAACTGTGATTCGAGTAGGAGATGCTATGGATGAACCAAATACCAATTTAATCACTGCCGAACCAGAAGAGTTTGTGCCAAATATTCACCCACCAACTGATGATGAAGGAGTACGTAACTTATTATAATGTACATTCAATTTTTAGGAACTTGGAAGCTATTCATTATAGTATTTATTGTAATAATTTTGTTGATTTTAAATAATGTGATTTTTAAACTCTAATAATTTTGTATAAGTTTAATATGGTTTTAATAATAAAAATATTTTTATAATTTAAAGTTTTAAAGTAATTGTTTGATATCTTGACATAATCCTTTTAAATATCTATCGCAACAGTAAATATAATTATACATCTTTATGCAAAGTTGTTTATGTAATGGGATGGTATTGTACACATAGTGACAATTATACAGTATTGCAAGGTCATCAACCATAACTGTATAATCAGGGTTATAGGTTAAGAAATGAAGTAGTTATTTACATAATGTTCTAAATGGCATTGAAGCTGAACATTTCAATCTTTTAAGTATTCAGAGTCTAGTCATAAAGTAAGCGTTATCCAGTTTGCACACGAAGAAATGTGTTTTGTTAGTAGTGATTTGTGTTACATTATTCAATATTACGTGTACTATGTGTCAGGTAAGTGTCGTAACATGTATTCTACTATAAAATTAAATATTCTTTTGCAGGAACAATATCATGCAACACAATCGTTCCTATCAAATGGCTCCTCTGAGTTAATAACCGATGATGTTGATTCAAGTTCTGCTCGTGTTTGTCAAGCTATCGAACATATTCAGAGTAAAATAGCTAAAACACGGGAACTTATAAGAATAGAACAAACCACACGTGATGGTAATTATCAGAAATTAATAGATAATTATTATGGTGTTACTGCCCGCTATTAAATGGAGCATTCAAATTATTTTTTGAATTATGAAAACAGATTTGTAATTCAAAATAATTGTGACATGCAACCATTATATATGCCTGAAAAATATGAATAAAAAATTGAACAGTGTATTTTTGCTTCAGAAAATGTTAATGAATATTTAAAGTTGGCTGCTAATGCAGACAAGCAGCAGCTTACTAGAATAAAGGCAGTATTTGAGAAAAAAAATCAAAAATCAGCGCACAGTATTTCTCAACTACAAAAAAAATTGGAAAGTTATACAAAAAAATTAAAATATTACGAGCTAAATGGCGCACCTGCAAGTCACAGACAACCTCGAGAAGTGCTTCGCGATATGGGACAAGGGCTTAAGTAAGTGTAGTATTGTTTTCTCAGTAGTATGTACAGTTGTTTAACTAAATTAATTAAGTACTAAGTAAAGGATATGTTTATAACAGTACATTTATGTTTAATTTATTAGTGTGTTTGCTACTCTCATGTAATAGTAATATATAAAAGCATCACTATTTGTGTTCTGCCTTGTTCTGTGTTAACCCTAGAATGCCGCAATTGGGTCCAGTATATGCTAGTCTATTTTTTCGTATTCATATTTTTCATAAAGAGTAATATTTGGGTTCTTACTTCTCCCAATAAAAATGTTTATGATATCAACATTATAGTTGATGCAATGTCTTTTAAACGTCTTTCTGTGCAGGATATTTACTAAACTCCAGTGTGCAATTCATATATAAATGTAATTTATAAAGTTTATATTACTTTTTCTAAATTTTTCAACAATTGCAATATTTGTGAGATGTTTGATTTAATGTTTTTATTTTTTTCCAAACTTTCTTACTCTTTTATAATGTGTTATCAATGTTGTGTGTTGCATGTACTAAAATAAAAATTTTAAACTTAAAGAAATACAGAAAATAAAAATTATGAAATGCATAAATTGTTTTTAAAAAAATCGACCCACTCGCATCTTATGTCTTTTATTTTCACTCCCTCTACAATTGAACGTTTTTACGTTTTTACATTTGATTAAAACGGTATAGAATGAAGAATATAATTTTAAATTCAAATTTCTGTGCATGAGTGTTTTACTTACATTATTCCGTTTTGGTTTGAATATTTGTTGAAAAAAATAATGGTTATAAACAATAGGGGGAGCCTGCTGTATCTCAGAGAAATGTTAATATATGCCTAAAAATGAAGTATGGTGTTTTAGAAGTAAACTGGTAGTAATTTTAGTTCGTAATATTATTATTTGAATATTAGATTAGTAGAGTGCTAATAAATCGTGATAAGCATTTTAAAGCGATTTTTAGTTTAGTGCTAGTTAATAGTATCATTAATTCATCAATTATTAAAGCAGTAAAAATCTTTGTTTTGTTATTTATTTTTTCTTTAATTCATCTTTTATTCTTCTGAGCATAGAGAATATCTTCAGCTAATTTAAGACTCACTTCCAGAAATGTGGGTGGCAATATCAGGGATGGCATTACTGGTTTTTCAGGGTGAGTGTTCATTTGAAAATAGATTTTGAAGTAACATACTTAATGCTTCCCTCATGTTACATGCATTATTGTAGATGTGCTTTTAAGAATTACTGTTTCACAAAATAGACATACACAGTATCCATTAAAGTCGTGATGTAAATAAACTAGAAATTCTTGTGTACCTTATAGATGTTTATATTATATTCTTTAGTAGTACATTTTCATTTTATAAGTGTAATTATAAATTATAAATTTATTATATAAATTGTTCAGTTTAAAAAATATATATTTATCGGATTGGAGTTTCTAATTAACCCCGTTTTTTTTTTTTTTTTAAATGTTTCAGAAGTGTAATGTCGAAACCAAGAGAATTTGCACACTTAATAAAGAACAAATTTGGCAGTGCTGATAATATAAATACCTTATCACGTGAGTAATTTTTATTATAATTTTTATTAACATGGTATTGTTTAATTTAAATTTCATTCTATTGTTTGACTTACAAATAAAGTTTATTATAAAAAATAACAATTAAAATTTTATGTTTGGAAAGCACTCTCACTAAGTACATATTGCTTTATGCTAATAAATTTTAATCTTACAAGCAATAGCGTGCACATTTTTATTTATTTACAAAATATGTATATGTAAATACACTTTAGATAATATTCAAATCTTATGTTAATCTGTACTCTGTCTATAATTGAAGGATAAATATCATTTAATGTTTTGTGCTGTCATGGCAGTTGAGAGTAGTAAGTAACATTTTGGCTCAATTTTTCTTCTATAGTCACCCGTTTTCGTCTATACTCTATAATATATACCTTACCTTACACTGTTTGTACACAACCTACTTTTTAACATTTGTACCATGTATGTTGTAACTTTCCCATGAATTTAGTCGTCTGAATTACAATACTAATACTATTATTATTTTCCGTTTTAAACGATAAAAAATTAATTTTGCCTGTACTCGACACAATTAATTTATAAAACAATTTTCATAATAGAATGTTGTGTTTACATATTATGAACTTTATATTTTCATTATTGTTCTGTGTTATTTACTAATTTTGCCTCTGTACTTTTTAGTAGCTTTCATAAACTAAATATTTGCTTCCTTTGATATTAGTTATCCAATACATCTGCCAAACACAGTTACATTTAATCGAGAATGTAATATCTTCCGAAAATAGAAACTATATGGGTAAAAGAATTTCTGTTGCAATGTTCTGCAATTGATTATGTAGTTGCATACACAAAGAAACATTTTTAAATTATAAATAATCATATTTACAATAATACATTAGTCACACACGATGACAGGTATATTTCAGTACGAAGACCTAAATAGACAAATTAGTTGTTAACATGGCGAATAATTTGGTATTGGATAACATTCTAACTTGCGACGTCTGTGTCTCTGCAGATGGCTCGACTTTTTATGTAAACGATACACCGCGTGCAGGTAATGGAGATAACGCTAGTGTTGAAGATGAAAAGGCACATCACGGATCGGCCACGCTTCCCGGTGGATGTAGTTTAGGATCTACTCATAGTGCAGCAGGAATGAAATTTCCATCCGAAGAAGGCTCAGAGTGTTCTAGTGTTACAAGTGAAAGTGGACCTGGTAGTAGGCGGCAAGCGCATACATGTCACAGTAACAATGCTACACTTAGTTCGAAATCTATTTTCTCTGAATTAAAGGAACACAGAGAAAGTCTGGATCGGATGAGAGAAAAATTAGAAAGCTTAAAGGTTTGTTCCTTATAATATTAAAAGTGTAAAAAAAGAACGGTACTTAATCTGACAAGGGGATTCTACAGCTTGATGATTCAATCTCGTTATTAAACAATTGTAGACCTTGCAACAAGAAGTGACATTTCTTAACCATGCATTGCAAGAGGAACGTTTTAGAAGCGAGCGTTTAGAGGAACAAATTAATGATCTAACAGAGCTGCACCAAAACGAAGTAGAGAATTTGAAACAAGCTATAACGGATATGGAAGAGAAAGTGCGATATCAAAGTGAAGATCGCTTAAGGGACATACATGAAATGTTGGAAAGTTATCAGACTAAAATTTCTACGATGGAACACCAACAACAACAGCACCAACAATATGTCACTCTGGAGGGTTTAGATAATAGCAATGCAAGGGCATTGGTTGTAAAACTCATAAATGTAGTACTAACGGTGTTGCAAGTCATTCTACTTCTTGTTGCAACAGGTGCTGGTATAATGATGCCTTTCCTTAGGACCAGGTATAGTTATTTTTTATTTCAAAGTATTTTTTTCTTTCCAGTTAGATTAGAAGATGTTGGATTAAAGCGAATAATATTAATAATGTATCCATAAAAATCTTATGAAATGATTATATTTTGTAACTTGTGACTTATAATAAGATTCATTAATCAATAATAACTTAAATTTTCTATACATCTGTGCGACATCTCGCTTATATTTTTTGTTTTCACATGCATCTTCATTCATAATTCTTGATCGCGTACATTACCATCAGATTTTAATTTTACACGATCATTGTTTTATTTTGTTAAAAGTGTAACTTTATACATTGTTTTTCATATTCAAGACAAATATTATAGTGAATATAATCGAAATAAATATAGTTTATTTCAAATAAATGTTTTCGCTTTTAATTTGGGGTTTCTTCATTATACATAATGTGAACGAATATATACCTATAAAATATACATGCAATTAAATTTTGTTGTACAATTTAATTCGTGTATATTTTTAGGTGTAATCGATCATTCTGTATACTGAAATGGAAACAAATTAAAGACAGAGACATTTACTTAAAATAAATTGTAATTGTTTTGACTAAATTTCTTATAATATTTGTTTCATTTTGTTTTCGCATCTCTGTTGCAGTTGTACTAAGCCTCATTGTTTCATGTGCAGGGTGCGCATATTAACGACTATGTTTGTTGTACTGAGCATAGTGTTTGTGCTCAAACAATGGCCTGAGGTACACGACGTTGGCAGTCGCCTCATGCGCCACCTTAAACAGACGCTTAAGTAGCATCGTAAGTAAATTATTATTATTCTAATATTTATAAAAACGAAGCATGAAATAATTTTTAAGATATATAAAAATTATATCATTGATATTTTCTGATAGTTTGATTTCAACTTTGTTTTCAATTACTTTGATCCTCGAGTTTATTTAAAGTATAGTAAATAAATTAGATTCGTTTTAGGGTGGTATACTTAAATTTACTATACCCTGTGATGAAGAAAAGTTGTACACAATGATCAACATTTTGGATCCGTTTATCAGTGCTGTAGTTTTAGAGCAATAATAGTAGGTATATGCGCAAATGAGTTCATTTGTATTTCAAATTTCATTTCCAACATTAATTTATTAAATAAAAATCAAGTTTATTTGGTACTGTTAAATATACAAAACTTACATTGCCGCGCGAAAATGTTTTGTTGATGAGAACAACTTTTCCGGATACGATAAATTTGAAATTGTGTTTTGTCGTATACTCAATTGTTGTAAATTTAATTTCGATGTTCATATTTTTATCCGAAGTTTTGTCTAAAAAAAAAAAATACCCACACATTTGATATAATTAATTGCGTGCAAATAATATGAAAGATGATTATAATTTGTAATAAAATAAAATGATTGTTAAGAAACATAACAGAGGCGATAATTATAACGCTGTACACTGATATTGCTTAATTACATACGGCACATTGTTAGAAGAATTTACTCTGATAAAGTGATGTCAAGTGGTGATTATGTTAACTTTTACATGAGTTATTGATTAACGCGGAATTAGAAGAAATTATTGAGGAAGAGAAAGTACTGATTCAAAAAATAGAAGAGAAAAAATGTTTTATCACCAGTGTCTGTGGGTGGTCTAGCCACCTTTTTCAGAATTAAAGTTAATGTGTTTGATATTTCAGTAAAGGCGTGTAATTTACAAGATACACGATTCTAAACCAAATGTTTATAATTCAAATCGTCCAATTGTTAAACAGTAATATAAATTAAGAAACCAGAAAAGCACTTTATGACTGTAGGTAATCATCCCTTCAGAGTGTATAAAGTAGTATGACCTATTCTTTAGTGTTGATAATAAGATGGAATAACTTCGTAAATCGTAGGAACTACAATATTTCGCACTATCTTTATGTATAATTTACAAATTAATTCTACACCATGAGAACTTAAAAAGTGAAAATGTTTGAATAGAAACGACCGTGTATACAACATTTAATATCAAAAGAGGACCAACATGCTCCCTTCCTCTTACTCTATAATATTGATTTATTTCATGTACAATATAAAAGAAGTACTTGTTTGAAAATAAACGATATTCAGATATCATGCTTTTTAGTCTCATGAGTGCTTCAAAACCACGACAGACACAAGTATGCATACATATGATAATGATTATAAAGAAATGAACCATGACAGATATAGAAATGAGAGAAAGACTGATGGACTACATCGTTGTTACAATTACGAATAATTTAATATTTGTGGCAATTTTATGTTACTACTCATTCAGAAATGTTAAAACAGTAGAACGATGTAAAAAAAAAAAAAAGGAAAAACAACATCAGTTGCGAAATTGTACAATTATAAAGAAAAAAAAAAAGAATAATTCTTAATTTAACATAGGTGCTCAAATCTGTGAGTGTGTAAAATATTTTGATCTACGTAATTTTTATATTCTATTGCTATTTAATGGCAAAATATGATTTATATTATTAAATACGTTTCCTAGTTTTCGACTTTATAGCTTTATTACAAGCCCAGTATCAGTAAATGTGAAGTTTTACAGCTGAATATTATTTCACGGAAATGTGACGAGCGAAGTGAAAAAAAAACTACTTTCCCGATAATCATTGGTTCCTTTCTTATCGTTTAATACATGAAATTTTCTTTATACTTTACAAATAAATAATTTATAATTTATTTTAAGTTCGCGTAATTAGATTTTTTGTTATTTGTATATGTTGGACTATGTAATGTTATCGTTTCGTTGATCTGTGAGAAGTTCGAAAAATAGTTTTTAATCGATCGACTAAAATTGTAAATAAAATAAAATTTATATGGTAGTATATTTTATTTCTTGTGCCTGTTATTTCTGAATACATCATCATATTTCCTACTTTTTAATTCGGCTATAATATTTTCTAACAATTATCTTCGGTTTTCTTGTTTTATTTGTACTCTACTTTCTATAATTATTATATATTGATAATAGTGACTTTTATGTTTTTCTGTTTTTATCTACATGTGAATAGAAACAAATTAAATTGTGTGCCTAAATACATGTGCTGTCAATAAAATTTGTCACATCTGTTAACAGTTTTTATTAACTATTACTTTCATAGCAATTTATTAAATTTTAAAGAAGATTAGAAATTTGGTGATGTATTTAGAATTATACCAGGCAAATATCTATATTCCGAGACCGCGCGTATTTTTTTATTTTCTCGAATCGACATCGTTCATTATTTTTTAGTAGAAATTTGTTTTATTACATTTATTAGCAATTACGAGAATCCTAACTGTCGAAGAATCATTTTTGCGTTCCTAAGTAGTCGTTTTTATTGTCTATGAATTTAAACACATCGCTGTGACTATGCTAAGTTTATATATAAACATAGAAAGTTAAAAATGAGTTTTGGGATCAATATATTCACGAACGAAAATTTTTAAATAACTGTACTCTTTTATTAAACGTAACTTCGGCAAAGAAGAAAAATATCTGCAACAGTGATCGAACGATATTCGAATAAATACAGACTTGATAATGATATATTGATTCTATTGAAATAATATTACGTTGTTTAAATCAAATCTCGACAAAAGTGTATGTTTGCTTATTATCGTGTAAGTGACAACTAGACAAAACATATAGGGTGTTCAATGATGAGCTTGTATGTAAATATTTACTGATTTCATTATTGCAAACTGCGTTCATTTCCATTTTCGATAGATTGTTACTCGTTCTCAATTGTCGATATTTATCCGTACGACGAACAATAAAATTCTATTTACATATGTAAGCTAACGGTTGAGAAACAAAGTACAAGAGTTGCACATCCAGTTTTCTGCTTGTAGTTCATATCGTGTGAATGACACCCTATATGTATTGTGTAGGTTTAGATCGTGGTGCTTTGTAAGATACATATGTAATCCAATATTAGAGAATTTGTTAACACCATCGACCACCGAATTAGCGAGGGCCCCTATTTGCACGCTTATAAATAATGTTTATATAGTAAAGTCTGGGCGTAACGGAAGTGATTTCTAAAAAAAAAAAGTTAAAAAAAGAACAAGTTACAAATATTTATATCAAGATGAGGTTACACAGATGTCAAACAACGATGGACGTATTTTGTATCTTACATTGTTACATTTTTCTATAAGTTTCTCTTTTTTATCGCGGCCGTTTACAATTTTATATGTATTTTGTATTTACCAAACTTCATGGGGGAACGCACGACGTATGCTTAAATAATTTGCGACAAGTTAAACGTAATCGTGAAATTCAGTGTAGTCGTTACTCACTATCTTTGTAATTTTAGGGGCCCCCTAGTTATAGCATAGAGGGAAAAGTAACGAAGTAAATATATCGTCATCGATGCCTTGCATAGGTAGTTAATGTCAAATTATAGATTAAATATTTGTTGTCAATTGTAGGACGATGTAGGGCAATACGAACAGCGATTATAATGGAAATTGTTATCACGCTAGACACATACACATTATGCGACACACGTGTGTGCATATGTATTAGCTGCGTAACAGGTCAGTGTAATAATGTAGTTAAAAACAAAAAATAAGTTTATGTCCATTTTTTAAAATACCGACGTATGCGCGTAACGCCTGTATTATGTTCTTGCTGCGAAAAGACAATTTCAAGCCAACTATCAATATAGCAGCTCTTGTCATTAATATTATTATTTAATACCGTTTCGAAATAAAAAGAATTTTTAATAAAAATCGGTCATTTTTTCCGCTAATTTGGATCTTCCTTATTGTTAATTAGATTAAGTAATATGCAAGAAAAAGGTGTTTCATTACTTTAAATTTCTTTAGGTAAAAGGTATCAATAAATAAAAAAAATATTAATAATGTGCATAGGGTATATAAAATTTTAACTCTGGAGGTGACTGTAAAGTTTTTATATTTTTTATCGAGAAGATTTGTCAATAATAATATTACAATCATCACAAATTTACAAATAATGTAATCATTTTATCAATATATATCACAATTTCTACTTTGTATAGTGCTGAAAGCTGTTTTATTTGAAAGAGAATCGCTGGGATGCCACAGAAATATATGTCGTGTTAAAGGCGATCGTCTATAATTCTAATATTTTGAAAAGTTTATAAAATTATGTCATTAATAAGATATAATCACGATTCTATCTATAGCATTTTCTTGCAATAAAAGTAGCTATCAGCCTTTGATTTATTAAATAATATGTTAATATTTTACTAGTATCAATAAGAAAATATTTCATTTTCCTTATGATAATCATATTTTATATTATAGATAGTAAAAGCTGCATATTCTAATTTTCGAGTAGTGTTTATAACAATTTTTAATGCACATAGAATATACAGTGTAAATTTTCATACGTTTATATAATAAAACGAATACTTTATTTCGATCAACATATAAATATGTTTCTAAATAAACAAGATTCATATTGCTTTATGAATGGTATCATGTTACGTTTTATAGAAATACATTAAAATATCTGTTACTAATTGATTTATTTCGATTTTGAAATGATAGATCGATTGATTTCGAAAATATTGATTATGAATTTAAAAGTCTTACACTTTCTACTTTAATTATGTATTAAAATTTTTACAAACATTACTAAGCATTTTAGTATATGTACATTATTAGGAAAACAGACAAAGAAAAGGCCATAGTACGAGGGGTCAATTTCAGTAAAATCGATGGTACGTTCGTAACTACAAAAACCGTAGATACAATATTAGACGAATATTTCATGAATTTTTCTCGAAAGTTATCCGGCTAATATCGTGTCTGTGGTTTACGTGGAATAAATTCGCCATTTTGTATCGAAATCGAAACCACTTACTAGTGACTTTCCCTTTGCGAGTATTATAAATAAAGAACCATTTCCTGTAACGTAACATGCAGACTGATAAGCTTATAACATGATTATTACTTTGATAACTTATTCTTAAGTTGACATTATATATTTTGTGGCTCAATTAACAGCAACTGTTCATCTTCAAAGTATTCTTCTAGAACGATACAGATTGTACATAGAAAAAGTAGATAGTTTAAAAGTACCAACATACTTTGGTAGAATATTCATACCAATATAAAATAAAATAATGTAAACGATTGCTTAAATTAATTTTTTTTTTTTCTCTAAATATACAGGTGGCTTTAGAAAACATATCTTTACCCCTTGCAAAGAATTCTCGAAAATATATTCTTTGTATACAGCTTTAACATATATGCTACAGTAAAGGAATACATCATGGTGACTAATGCCGCTTCTTATAAAATGCAGACTCAATATTTTATCTTCTATCATGCATTGTCTGTATTACTTCAATGTTTTTTTTTCAATCTGCGGTAATTTGAATTCCCTCCTGGGAATCTCGAAGCACAATCTCGGCTGGTAAAACATTTTTTATCTCTTTCGGGCGAGGAGCTGGCGGTTCTTCTTTTTTTAAAGTTGGCGTAGCATGGTGTTTTTTTTTGTGACACATCATAGTTGATCTTGATACGAATGTTTTGCCGCACGAGTCGCATTCATACGGTCGCTCTCCAGTGTGCAGTCTCTTATGGATAGCCATTGGTGTAAACTGTGTGAACGTTTTACCGCAGATATCGCATCTGTACGGTCGTTCACCTGTATGTAATCTTCTGTGACATCTCAACGCAGCCCTTCTGGCGAACACTTTTCCACACATATCGCATTTAAAACTTTTCTCTCCGGTATGCATTGTTGAATGAATTTTGAGATCGACGCGCGTTAAAAACCCTTTACCACAAACTTCACACAAATACGGTTTCTCGCCAGTGTGAATACGTAAGTGCGTGTTAAGATAACTTTTACTAACAAACATTTTATTGCATACCACGCATGGATATTGTCGATTATCCATGCCTGAATGTATTTTTTGATGACTTTTACAGAGCCCTTTGGTTATGAAACCTCTGCCACAAACTTCACAGGCATATGGTTTGACACCAAGATGTCTGTTTTGGTGATCCAATAAAGATTGTTTCGTTTTGAAGTGTTGCCCACAAGTGTTGCACGGAAATGGTTTTAAGTCCGAATGTACTCTTTGGTGAAGAACAAGATAGCTTTTAGACTGGAAACCTTTACCGCACGTAGAACAATTGTAATCAAATTGCCCTGTATGCGTGGCGGTGTGCTGCGCAAGTCCGATTTTACTGCGAAATGCTTTCTCGCAGGTCACACACTGAAAAGGTTTTTCGCCAGTATGTTTCCGCATATGTTCTTGCAGTTTATAATTTGTCCTATATTGTTTTCCACAATGAGTACAAACTTTTGGAGTCCATTTTTGTCTCACTGTTGTCTGTTTCTTTTGTTCGTCCGCGTTCGCGTCATTTTGCGAATGCGCTAATTCTGGTTCAGTAAGTTCTTTTTCCTTACAGATCGTTTTACTTTTATGTACATCGCACCTTTCTTTATGTACATTTAACGCGTCTACGCTCGTATAATATAGACCACAAGAACAGCAACAAAAGTACTGTTCAAAGTGTGCTATCATATTATTCGATCCTAATGTTGCTTCATTACAAAACGGACATACATACCAATGTGATCCAGTCTCATCAATGGTAGGATTATTTAACGTCGATTCCAACAATGTATGTTTCGCTCTTTTTGTGTATTCAACTAATATTTCTGTGCTTCCTGTAGTAACTTGACTTGTGGATGCTAAAGTATTTGTTTGGGAAGGAGTTGCATGTGTCGAAGTTTCATTCTCACCAACATGTGTTTCTTCTATATCACTATTCTCATGTGGTACCTATAAATTGAAATAGTTTATTAGACAAATTTATATTGCTCATGTTGCATCATTCCAAAAATATATTTTAGTAAAATTATCAATACATTTTGTTCCAATTTGACAACTTACATTATTTTCAAGTACATTTGTTGGCCCTTCTGCTGTTAACCTCTCCTGCAATCTATGATATTCCTCTTTTATTGGTACCGATTCATACTTTATATTGTCGCAATAATGTACTATTTGTTCTTGATTTTGATCTTCAGGAGTTATAGAAGTCACATAATTTATTCCTAACTGACCCAAATGGTCGCTTACTGTTAAATTTCCAACCACAGTCATATCACCCTCTAGATGAACTGCTATTTGATGATTGGAAACCTATAATGCAAAATTATAAATATATTACTTCTGTAAGTTTGTATGTAAAAGATTATTTCAAGCAAGTATATTCAAGCCAAAAAGAAGTTTTTATCAATTCATTTACTTCTCGTATGTGTTCATCGACCATTCTGACGGTATCACCACTTAAACAGTCGATACCAGTAACCTCAATGCCAGTATCTTGTTGTCCCATTTCTTCTTGTGTAACAACCTGTTCGCCGCCTGCCAAATCCATTTCATCCATGACTTGCATCGTATGTATACTAGCTTCTCTTGTCTCTTGAGGAGTTACATGATTTTGTACATCATCAATATTATTTTGTATTCTATCTATATTCCTTTGAATTCTGCTCATTTCTTCTACTTCTTCTAAATTATGCTTTGATATTCGAACCACTTCATCCTTAGCAATTTCTTTTAACATTTCCATGAACATCCCCTCAGTATGTAAACATTTTTCACGAAAATCAAACAATTGGTCCAATTTGTAAGCACAATCTTCACACACTACTTTTGGTAGTTGATCATTCATGGATACCTGAAAATAATTAATCGACTAATGATACGAATATTTTTCTTTTAATAAGGCAATGAACTGGCATCATAGTCTCTGATGTGTTTTTATAAACTGTTTATAGTTAAAACCAACATACATCCTGATCATCGTTACAAGATCGTGAAACCTTGCACCAATTTTCTTCCTCTATTTATAGTTAAATTACAAAGAGGGGGTGAGGACGGAGCTCTAAAGATTGCAGTGAAATCGGACCTCTATCTTTACGCACGATTTTACCTGCACTGGCAAGCACGCGGCTATTTTCTTGTCAATGTTGCGCATCTGATCGCCGGCTTCGAAGATCGGTAATCCCATTAGAATACCCGTTTTGGTCGCGCATAGACGGCATAAATAATCAAATTCCTCGACGACGGCCATATCAACAGGACAGAGAAGATCGTCTTGCCAAACTAAACGAACGACCCAAGACTCGATCAAAGTGCTGTTACTTTAAACCCAACGGCAAAGGGCTTTTGTGTAATTAAACGAACTTGAGGCACGCATTACGATGTTTTTTTAATTCGGGTCCCGTGAATCTTTAGTTTAAAATTTGTCTACTCTACTTTATAGATATGCATTATCCAGAGATATTTGTCAAGCGAGCCTGCGTTCACACCATCGGAGAATCTCGTCGTGTTACTCGTAGCGGGGGAAATAGCTTGCGCTGCTCTCTTTTCTTCCAAAAAGAATCCGTTTCGTAGATGGCGCGCTAAGCAGTCTTTCCATCGATCATCGAGATATCGAAGATCGAGAAATTTTCCTAATCATATTTTCAAACGATATGTATTTATTATAACGTAAATTTAATTGACTTGTGGTGTTTTGCAACAGTGTTTTAACCAATGTAACATGGGATAATCAGTGTTAATAATGTTTTTCTTGTGCTATAAATTTAAAGAGATAAATTTATATTTGTTAATTTGTTACATAATGCTTATTGTTATCAAATATTGATTTTTGATCAGCAGAAGCAGTTCATCGAGTAGATTTAGAATTGCATTCTTCAAGTACTACGGTCAATACAGATTTGTTTACATAAATGTTATCGATTAAAAATATCTTTCAAAGACACATTAATAACTTTTTAATTTTTTGTTAAAAATAGATAATAAGTGTGCAACGATAAATAGCGTTAAAGTAAATTCTTATTTATATTTCATTAGTTTGTATGTATATTGTTTTAAAATTACAAAACACAAAATTTAACGAAGTTGTCGACGTTATTATATTCTTTTATGATATAATTGAAAATTCAATATTTTTCCTTGCATATCTATACTATTTTATTTAAATGAATATAAATAATTCGCTGTATAAAAATGCTTTTCTATTTCATTTGTAATAAAAAATGGCGACGAAGAGGCAAGAGTATCAACAAAAACGGAAATTTGTAGAAAATCAAAGTGATACAGATGAAGAAACTGAAAGTGAGTAGTGTAGTAGCATTTTTCAAGGGTTTCAACTGTTGTTCACTGTTGTATTCGTTATAAATTTATTGCAATGTTTGGAACTCATTGTTTACATACTTGTATTTTAAGGTTAGGTGATCTTTTCCTCTCTCTACATATATTATGGTTCAATTTATCATCGTTTGACATAATATTATAAATTACATCGATATTAATAAAGTTCAGTTTAAATTGGGCGAACCTATTGAGTCACAAATACTTAGTTATATTCAGTTACAAATTTCTAACCTAAAATAAGGTTAGGTTTAATATAGTTTATTTATTTAATTATAGAAGGTATTAAAGTTGCCAAAACAAATGCAGAAGCACCACGACTGTGCCCTTACTTGGACACAATAAATCGTCAGTTTTTAGATTTTGATTTTGAAAAATTATGTTCAGTATCATTGTCAAGAATTAATGTATATGCTTGTCTTGTATGTGGAAAGTATTTCCAAGGTAGAGGTACCAATACTCATGCATATACACACAGTGTAGCAGAAAGTCATCATGTATTTCTTAATCTTCATACCTTAAAATTTTATTGTTTACCTGACAATTATGAAATCATCGGTAAGCCAATATGCGCTCTATCATTAATCTTAGACTAAAATGCTTTAGTATCTTGCAATAAACGTTTAACTTGTAGATTCATCGCTAGATGACATTAAATATGTTTTAAATCCAACATTTGATAAAACTCAAATTACATTATTGGACAAAAGTGATAAATTATCAAGAGCTATTGACGGTTCATTATATTCTCCAGGTATTGTGGGAATGAATAATATTAAAGCAAATGATTACTGCAATGTTATTTTACAAGTGAGTTATGTTTAGATATATACACTTGTAGGTTCATTGTAGTAGTAAAATTATAAATTAAATTTTTTTAGGCACTTTCGCACGTTACGCCTTTAAGGGACTTCTTTTTAAGGGAGTCTAATTATTCTCATGTGAAAAGGCCACCTGGTGATTCTTCCTATCTTTTGGTCCAAAGATTTGGAGAATTAATGAGAAAATTGTGGAATCCACGTAACTTTAAAGCACACGTCAGCCCCCATGAAATGTTACAAGCTGTTGTCTTATGGAGTAAAAAAAGATTCCAATTTACAGAGCAGGGTATATAATCATTATATTGAGACAATAATTACTATTAATACAACAGATTTTATATTTTGAAATAAACTTCCTAGGTGATCCAATTGATTTTCTTTCATGGTTTATGAATGCTCTTCATTTAGCATTAAATGGTACAAAAAAACGAGATTCTAGTATAGTGTACAAAACATTTTTGGGTCATATGCGTATATATACACGAAAAATACCGCCGCTCGAATTAGACGAAAATCAAAGAAGCGAATTGCTTCATACTGTAGAATATGGTCAAACTGTAACAGAAAGTCCGTTTTTATATTTAACATGCGATCTTCCTCCACCGCCTCTCTTTAAAGATCAATTTACCGAAAATATCATTCCCCAAGTAAGTATTAAATAATGTACACATATCGTGTATAATAAAATATAACTTTCTTCATTTCTATAGGTCAATTTATATACATTATTAAATAAATTTAATGCTGTAACTGAAAAAGAATATAAAACCTACAAGGAGAATTTTATGAAAAGATTTGAAATTACAGAACTTCCTCCTTATCTTATACTGTACATAAAAGTAAGTATAGATCTTCTCAAGTTAAGATCCTTTGATCTATTTAATTTAATTTTCTTTTTTACAGAGATTTACAAAAAATACGTTCTTTGTAGAGAAAAATCCTACTATAGTTAATTTCCCAGTTAAGTAAGTTTTTATAACATCGTCTTTTATATAAAAAATTATACCAGATTCTAATTCAAATGTATCTGTATTTATTCTAGAAACGTAGATTTTGGAGACATTTTGACACCTGAAGTGAAGCAACGGCATCCTTATACGACGTACGATTTAGTTGCAAATATAGTTCACGATGGCGAACCCGGTCAAGGAACGTACAGAGTTCATATTTTACACAGAGCAACTGGTCAGTGGTACGAATTACAAGATTTACATGTCACTCAAATTTTGCCCCAGATGATAACATTAACGGAAGCATATATACAAGTGCGTATTTACACATTTAAATTTGTACGGAAATGCTTTGTAATAAACATTCACGTTTTTTTCTCTTTTTACAGATTTATGAATTGAAAAAAGATATACAAACAGAGAATGGTGAAAATAAAAGTAAAAAGACAATATGATAACTATAATTTTTTAAATAAAATATTTCAATTGTTCACTTCCCTCTGTTCTTTACTACCCAATGTGTTATAACAACAGCAATTCTATAGGAATATTTAATCAGAAAATTTATATAATTGTAATAAAATTATATAATTCTTCTTTCAAGAAAACAGTCAGTAGTAGGTCCGTTACATAGCGATAAATAGTAATTTATATAATTTATATCGAATCTGTATTCAGGGCCCAGCGCCCCGCCATTTCGGCCCTGTCGCAAGTCACGTGGGTTTGTTTACTCGGGTTATCGTTTTGCTAGACGATCTACGTTTAGAGTTGTTACAAATTATACCCCTTTTTGCGCGATCTACATTATTTTACCCTGTTTACTTTTCGTTTTTATACGTTTACAATTTCTTACTGCCTCAAAAGAAACATTAAAACGTGTTACATAGTCATAAAAATCGGCTCCGAGGCATTTTCCGAAATATTGTAGAAAAGTCGCTGCAATTTGCACAGATGCAAATACAAACGCGTCGGTGCATCTCGGAGCCGTCTCATTGAATATTTCGAACAGAATGCATCTCGACGAATAATTAAATTATGTTCTTTTTGTTTTAATTTACAGCCCTAGTTTGAATTACGTACATTCGAGGGTTAATCGCTTCGGATCCCCAGTATACCTACCCCATGTTTGACACTGCAGGACGCCCGCCGATCGAGCCGAAAAATGTCGAACTTACCCGAGAAGATCGGAAGAACAAACTGGAAGTAGAAGTTTGGACTAGGGCGGGGGAAACCGCGAGCGGAGGGGGTCGCGCGTCGCGCGGCGCCGAAGCCGAAGCGAACCGGAGTAGAGTCACAGCCGGCCACGCGAGACGTTTACGAGCGAGCGTTCCGTTTCGTACGCTTCGCGTTTTACCATCTTTTTTCCGCCGTACCTTTTGTTTTCGATGTGTATCGGGACGACGCGTTTCGCGTATTGTTTCGTCGACGCGCCAGTCAGTGGATACTGACGTTCCGTCTCGTTCGTAGTTCATCGCCGCGAGTGTTTTATCTGTGTTCACGTTGTGTTGTCCAGTGTGTTCTCAGCACGTGGATTACCGCCGGTGGGAGCGACGCTTACACGAACAGTGAGTACACCTTTTTGTCTTTTTGTACGAAAACTTTTACGAGATACCCAGTCAGCGTGTGTCACGCGAGTCTTCAAACATTCTCGACAAAGGCAATTGGTATTGGACGCAGTGAGTGTACAAAGATTTTTGGAAAATTGTGATAACCTGTTGGCGGTAACGGTTCTATCTCGTGTAAACGGCACCTGACGGAGAATCTCTATCCATTTTAAAGCGTTCCCGCGTAAGCTCCGTAACGAAGTTCGAGCCGAGTATCGTTTGACACAGAAGTATTTGGAATGCTGTTTTAATAAGCGAACGTTGATATAAATGCAAGTGAAATGATATTTCGAGCGTCGAAGTAGTTTACTTTGAGTTTTGGAGCATTTTATATATTTAAATTCTCACGATTCTCTAGGTTATATTCGTGGTATTCGTGATAGTTGCAACCTAAGAATATTTTTCTGTGTCTTTTTGTCACCACACTCTTGCGGCTTATCGCCTCTAAAGCCCTATAAATTAGGGTTCCCCAGCTCCAGGGCAGTGACAGTCCAGTGTGAACGTCGGTGGTCAACATTTCCATTCGAAACGTTCGTTTTAACTTTATTTTCATCTCAAGATATTTCAAATACTCGCCTTCGATCCGACGCCCACTAATTAAAATAGTATTTGAAACATTTCTGTTCAACGTACCAGTTCTCTGTGTATTTTAATCACGCTTACGAAATCGTGTTTCTATTTTCGCGACAACCCGAACGAAACAATTTCCGATTACTCCAATTTTGGACAATCGACGCCGAATATAATAGTACTCGACTCGTAAGTAAAACAAGTTATTTACCGTTTGCTATGCCCAAGGGCACGCTCCACCGAGGCCCATTCGGTATCGAAACGTCGCGTTAGGTCTAGGATCGGTTTTATCGCCGATTTGTACGACGCTATAAAAGCTTTACGGTTGTAACAAAAGATCGGATCGCGCGGAACGTCTCAATTCTAATTTTTCCATAGACATGTTATTCTCGTACGCGCGTCGCGACGTTAATTCGGATTCGTGTCGGCGTTTTGCCAATACGCGTACCTTCCAGTAACCGTTCCGAATACCTGTTTCACGCGAACCTCGAAAAAACTGATTGCATGGCCTCCGTGGCGGTGAAGACGAGCCGCAACGTTCTTCGGTTAAAAGAGGGGAGAGTGAAGGGAGGTACGTTGACTCTCGAAGAAGCCGCGAGTTTCGGATTCCTAGCATCTCCGCTTGTGATCGTTGCATCGCGTAAACCAGTTTCCGCATGCGGAACGATCCTCGATGACAGATCGAACGCGCGTCATCGGTCTCGCGCAGCGCGAGCCGCCATATTTATATTCGACATATCGAGAATTGGAGTATCGATATTCTCTCGAGGGCGCAACGTACCGCGTAAATAGATTTGAAAATTAAATACTACGCGTCTATCGTTCATTTTAGTACATGTTATGCTTTTCCAAATTTCTTCACTTATATTATTGAGCACTATAGTATTGATAAACAAAAGACATTGCATGATGGAGATCAAAATAAATGAATTAAAATGTTAACGTTTGGAAAGACTTGCTTATAATAAGATATGAAAATTATTTCAAGTAAAGTTTGTGGTTTCGGACTAGATGAAATTGGACGTAGCCCAACAGTTTGCGGTCATCTGCAAGACTATCAACATGTGATAATCTGCATTAAGGGGAAAACTAGGAAATAGTAAATCCTAGCTCAGAAATGTTTTTATAATAAAGGATCGTGTTTTGTATCTTTACAAATTTATTAATAATTTTCCTTTTGTAGAATGGTTTATCAGTTTTTGGAAGTATCATGACGTAGTCTGTTAATTTCTGTTTTTTTTTGCGATTGATATTAATTCTTGACAATCGCATTTCATTTGTCTTCTTCAATATATCTGTCATCCGCGTTAATCCCATTGATTGCATTATCTGTGCTTCGTACGAGTGATTCGTATTATTTGTGTGATGCATATTATTCTTATCTCATGTTCGTCATTCGCAAAAATTCCACGAGTAGGCAATAAAATCAATCGCGAGAAAGCATAACGATGTTGCTTCTTCAGTCGCGTAAAACGACATATTTGTAAACCGAGGGATTAGAAGTCTCGAAGCCGCGGAGGATGTTATTAGCGAGCTCTTCGTGGAATGTGTCAAACGTGGGTGGTGTGTTACGTGGAAGTGCAGTGTTTGATGCACCGTTTCGTTTCAAAATCCATCACTGACCGTCTCAATCTGCTATACCCAACAGGGGTAAAGGACCCTGAAATTTTTATTTAATACGTGACGACGGTCGTTTATCTTTTTATTTAAATAACAATTTCATAAATTTCTACCGTCCAGTGACCAAGATTTCTTGCAAAACGGCAAAATAACTCACCCACCCCATCCGCTTTCTCCTACTCAACGCTTTTTAAGCACATGCCTTCTCGTCCACGGAAACGTGTCAAGGATGGAGATCATGGTTGTATTCATCTGCTGGAGACATCCTTGAGGCATTTAAATATCGATTGAGGATACAGGAGTGCATCGTCAAATGCTTCCTGCCGGTGCAATTTAACGTCTGCACAAGCACAGCACGCCTAGTTCATTGTTTTTACGCTCGCGTGCTAGTTTATTCTGTTTGATGCCTCGAGACCAAAGACATTATTTATGCCAATTTTTAATATTGCATCACGGAACAACAGATGCAATATTCTCGGCCAATATAACATAATAATAATAGTAGTAATTATATTCAGTCCAATATATTCAGAATAGATTTTATAATAGCATTTTTAGCCTCAGATTTGAACTTTTTATTATGCATAATCCAGCTCATATTTAGTTATAATATTTACCAGATGATTGTTGACGATGACCTCATAAAATAAACTTTTAAATTATTTAAATTTAATATTATGTCGGGGGCATGGAAGACCCCAGACTAGATAGCATTCGAGGGTGAAATTGTGAATATATATCGATAGTTATAGCGATTAGTATTTAAAGCACGGCTAGTTAATTGTTTTAATATTTTATGACGGAACAATAGATGCAATATTCTTGACCAATATAATATAATAATAATAGGCTAGTAGTAATTGCATTCACTGCATTATATTCAGATTTTATAATAGCATTTTTAGCCTCAGATTTGAACTTTTTATTCTGTAGAATCCAGCTCATATTTAATTATAATTTTTACCAGACGATTCCTGACGATGAGCTCATAAAATAAACTTTTAAATTATTTCAATCGAATATTATATTCGTGTTATGGAAGACCCCAGATTAGATAGCATTCGAGGATGAAATTGTGAATATATATCGATAGTTATAGCGATTAGTATTTAAAGCACGCCTAGTTCATTGTTTTAATATTGTATCACAGAACAATAGATACAATATTCTTGAAGGATATAATATAATAATTAGACTGCGGATATTTATTCATTTATGGGAAATTTAGATTGTCAAAAAACTATAGAATGCATTTAATATGCAAAAATATAACAAAAACTCACGTAAGATAAGAATTATTGTATTTAGGGGTTGAAAGAACCCTCTACGAAGCTCTTATTTTATTAATTTTATTAATAAATATATGAATTTGCATAAAAATTCGCAATCTAATAATAATAGACTAGTAGTAATTATATTCAGTACAACATATTCAGAATAGATTTTATAATAGCATTTTTATCCTCAGATTTGAACTTTTTATTATGCAGATTATTTAGATTTGGACTTTTTATTATGCTCTGGCGATGACCTCATAAAATAAACTTTTAAATTATTTCAATCGAATATTATATTCGTGTTATGGAAGACCCCAGATTAGATAGCATTCGAGGGTGAAATTGTGAATATATATCGATAGTTATAGCGATCAGTATTTAAAGCACGGCTAGTTCATTGTTTTAATATTGTATCACAGAACAATAGATACAATATTCTTGAAGGATATAATATAATAATTAGACTGCGGATATTTATTCATTTATGGGAAATTTAGATTGTCAAAAAACTATAGAATGCATTTAATATGCAAAAATATAACAAAAACTCACGTAAGATAAGAATTATTGTATTTAGGGGTTGAAAGAACCCTCTACGAAGCTCTTATTTTATTAATTTTATTAATAAATATATGAATTTGCATAAAAATTCGCAATCTAATAATAATAGACTAGTAGTAATTATATTCAGTACAACATATTCAGAATAGATTTTATAATAGCATTTTTATCCTCAGATTTGAACTTTTTATTATGCAGATTATTTAGATTTGGACTTTTTATTATGCTCTGGCGATGACCTCATAAAATAAACTTTTAAATTATTTCAATCGAATATTATATTCGTGTTATGGAAGACCCCAGATTAGATAGCATTCGAGGATGAAATTGTGAATATATATCGATAGTTATAGCGATTAGTATTTAAAGCACGCCTAGTTCATTGTTTTAATATTGTATCACAGAACAATAGATACAATATTCTTGAAGGATAAAATATAATAATTGGACTGCGGATATTTATTCATTTATGGGAAATTTAGATTGTCAAAAAACTATAGAATGCATTTAATATGCAAAAATATAACAAAAACTCAAGTAAGATAAGAATTATTGTATTTAGGGATTGAAAGAACCCTCTACGAAGCTCTTATTTTATTAATTTTATTAATAAATATATGAATTTGCATAAAAATTCGCAATCTAATAATAATAGACTAGTAGTAATTATATTCAGTACAACATATTCAGAATAGATTTTATAATAGCATTTTTATCCTCAGATTTGAACTTTTTATTATGCAGATTATTTAGATTTGGACTTTTTATTATGCTCTGGCGATGACCTCATAAAATAAACTTTTAAATTATTTCAATCGAATATTATATTCGTGTTATGGAAGACCCCAGATTAGATAGCATTCGAGGATGAAATTGTGAATATATATCGATAGTTATAGCAATCAGTATTTAAAGCACGGCTAGTTCATTGTTTTAATATTGTATCATAGAACAATAGATGCAATATTCTTGAAGGATATAATATAATAATTAGACTGCGGATATTTATTCATTTATGGGAAATTTAGATTGTCAAAAAACTATAGAATGCATTTAATATGCAAAAATATAACAAAAACTCACGTAAGATAAGAATTATTGTATTTAGGGGTTGAAAGAACCCTCTACGAAGCTCTTATTTTATTAATTTTATTAATAAATATATGAATTTGCATTAAAATCCGCAGTCTAATAATAATAGACTAGTAGTAATTATATTCAGTACAACATATTCAGAATAGATTTTATAATAGCATTTTTATCCTCAGATTTGAACTTTTTATTATGCAGATTATTTAGATTTGGACTTTTTATTATGCTCTGGCGATGACCTCATAAAATAAACTTTTAAATTATTTCAATCGAATATTATATTCGTGTTATGGAAGACCCCAGATTAGATAGCATTCGAGGGTGAAATTGTGAATATATATCGATAGTTATAGCAATCAGTATTTAAAGCACGGCTAGTTCATTGTTTTAATATTGTATCACAGAACAATAGATACAATATTCTTGAAGGATATAATATAATAATTAGACTGCGGATATTTATTCATTTATGGGAAATTTAGATTGTCAAAAAACTATAGAATGCATTTAATATGCAAAAATATAACAAAAACTCACGTAAGATAAGAATTATTGTATTTAGGGGTTGAAAGAACCCTCTACGAAGCTCTTATTTTATTAATTTTATTAATAAATATATGAATTTGCATAAAAATTCGCAATCTAATAATAATAGACTAGTAGTAATTATATTCAGTACAACATATTCAGAATAGATTTTATAATAGCATTTTTATCCTCAGATTTGAACTTTTTATTATGCAGATTATTTAGATTTGGACTTTTTATTATGCTCTGGCGATGACCTCATAAAATAAACTTTTAAATTATTTCAATCGAATATTATATTCGTGTTATGGAAGACCCCAGATTAGATAGCATTCGAGGATGAAATTGTGAATATATATCGATAGTTATAGCAATCAGTATTTAAAGCACGGCTAGTTCATTGTTTTAATATTGTATCACAGAACAATAGATACAATATTCTTGAAGGATATAATATAATAATTAGACTGCGGATATTTATTCATTTATGGGAAATTTAGATTGTCAAAAAACTATAGAATGCATTTAATATGCAAAAATATAACAAAAACTCAAGTAAGATAAGAATTATTGTATTTAGGGGTTGAAAGAACCCTCTACGAAGCTCTTATTTTATTAATTTTATTAATAAATATATGAATTTGCATTAAAATCCGCAGTCTAATAATAATAGACTAGTAATAATTATATTCAGTACAACATATTCAGAATTGCTTTTATAATAGCATTTTTAGCCTCAGATTTGAATTTTTTATTATTCAGAATATTTAGATTAGAACTGTTTATTATGCTCTGACGATGAGCTCATAAAATAAACTTTTAAATTATTTAAATCGAATATTATGTCGGGGTCATGGAAGACCCCAGGTTAGATATGAAATTGTGAACATACATCCATAGTTATAGAGATTAGTATTTAAACCTAATCCAAAACCTAAATATACACGTAGTAGCATTCTCGCGGGGGTTGAATCTCGCCGGGAAAGTCGAGCAATTATTTTCGTCGCGCCGCTAATGAGTTCCAACGCGCAGTGCTACGGCCGGCAAAGGGTGAAGCACGGAAGAAAGAAAGTTCGCGTCGGTTCAAATACGGGATTGTCTTCTTTTCCGTTCTTGAATGGATCTCTCCGTCACGGGAAGGCAATTATTGTTTTCCTCGTGCAGGAAGTCGCTCGCGATGGAAACGAATCTGCGCCGGAGAAAGTCGCGGGCGTTTTGTCGCTCTATCGGTGGCATCGTTCTTGCACCCGTGCACAAGTACGGCGACCGTGTGTACGGCGCGATGAAGAGGATCGAATCGCGTATTCCACGTATATACAAGGGAGAAGGTGGAAGACTCGACCGGCTAGAGAAAATAAGTCCTGGGAACAGCAGGTGACCAGCTGTTGCGGCGTACCGCGCGTGCATCTGCCTATAGGTGAACGATTCAGGCACCGATCGTCGCGCAACACGGCCAATTGGGTTATTCCGGTCATGATCGCCATGGAAATTATGAGTTTCTGTACGCGATGGTCTCAAGAGTTTACGGGACTTCGGAAACTACGAGCTATCTTCGAACGCACGAACGGTTGG